TCTGTCTAGTCCTTCTACGGGGGCACCCCTTCATTACTTGGACAGTTTATGGATGGCAGTCTCTGATTGCACATAAACCCACCTTTTGACGATGTCCGGCCCAGTCGAGGCAAAACTTTACTTTGTTCTTGTTCCCCCTCGAGGATGGAACACAAACGAAACTCAGCAACAGAAACTTCATGAAAATGTCATCCGTTTATTGATCAGAACGTAGCCCAATAAAATATCAATTTTTCAAAGCAAAATAATTGATTTTCTTAACATTTCGTTTGAGATCTGTACAGAAAACCTGTTCCAAATGTGCATCATGTTAGCACGCTGTTACCGATTAATGTAATCGCTCGCTGTTAGAGCGCTGTTATAGCGCTCTGTCCCCTCTGCCTTTTACTGCTCGCTGTGACTGCTGTATGTCCCCGATTGCTTTCACAGATCTCTCTGTAACAGCTCTATTTCCCCGCTCGCTGTTACAGATCTCTGTGACAGCTATATTTCCCCGCTCGCTGTTACAGCGCTGTGTCCCCTCTGGCTTTTACTGATTGCAGTGTCTGGTTGGTGTCACCGCTCGCTGTAACAGAGCTCTGTTACATATTTAAAGCCCCGCTCACTGTTATAGCGCTGTGTCCCCTCCGCCGGTAACCGCTCGCTTTAACATATATCTGTTACAGCTCTATTTCCCCACTCGTGCTACAGATCGCTGTAACATTTATATGTCCCAGCTCGCTGTTACAGATCTCTGTTACAGTTCTATGTCCCCGCTCACTGTTACAGCGCTGTGTCCCCTGCCACTGTTACCGTTCAGCGTGATATTACATACTTTCACATTCGCGTATGCAGCTGCCCGACTTTCTGTTTGTACTCATCAATGGTGCACACTTTCACCTAAAACTCGAATCACCCAAAATCATCTCAGATTTCAATTCCATTAACTATTTAGACGCCTGCCCACCTGAGATGATTCCTCGATCGCATCTACTGCCTAATGTCGAACTGAAGAGTTCCGCTGCTTCACCTTCACCTTGTCCGCTACCACTTAATAACGGAACAAAATGGGGGGAGACGGAACGGACCGGAGCACACACACAGCACACAAATATACATAGGAACAAACGCAAATAAAGTGGAGTAAAAAAAAGGAACATTTCCAACACACTTGAACATGCTTCCGCACTTAGGCGTGAGCGAGCGAGTGAGTGAGTGAGAGAGTGAGAGGGATTTGGTTGCGGTTGCGGAAGCTGTGAAGAGGTTTGAGTGACACTCAAGCTGCATTCGTACCCCACACCCGAAATGCTCAACCCCCCCCACACGCCCGACCCCCCATTCATCAAGTGTGCACTTCACACGCCTACTACTACAGCTCATATTACTTACTTAGTTTGCGTTTTAGTCCTAATGAAGCGCCTCCCCTCCAGCATGGTGGGGGGAAGCAGCAGCTAGATACCCGTGCCGTGCAGCAAGAAATGTGCCATCAGGTGCTCTACCTTGATCCGGATAGCTGTGGAATACCCTTTAGGACAGCCACAAACACACGTAAATGTACTCTATTGATTTAGGGTTTATTTAAACATAATTTTGGCACTTACTTCTATGATATTCAGTCTTTTATGTGGCATATTTCCCCTACCTTTTTGTCCTAATTTTGCTGCATCAACGTTCTACTAATCCTTGATGCAGCTGTTTTATATAAGAATCATATTCAATTCATTTACATTGCTGCTACACTCTGCCCACTCTGCCCCCACACCACCCTCCAGCCACTGCCTCAAGACAACATTCTAATGGCCTTAGTCGGGGAATGAAAAGCAAATTTACATCAAACCATAATCGATTTAGTTTGTTTTTCCAGAAGCAAGGACACACAGGAGACCCGGCATAATGGCTCTGCACTCTGCAAACACCCCAAAATCCCCCAATGCCCCAGTCAGACGGCAAGCTCTCCTCCCGCCACAGCCATTCAGACCCCCCTCCAAGAAAAGTGCTCCCAAGGTGTACGCAAAGCAATGCGCGGACTGGCAGCTGAAAATTTAATTACATCACAATGGAATGGAAGATAGAGACACAGAGAGAAAGAGAAGGCAGAGAAGGCTGCGCAAGGGCAAAGAATGGGGAGTGGAGATGTTCAGGCAGGGCCCAAGACAGCGCCACATTTTCCACATTAACGAAATGCTTTTAATTGTGCACTTAACGCTCGTAAAATGTGATTTAATAGTTTCTGCGAATGCCAAAGGGCAGGGCATAAGGGACAGGACGAAGGCAGAGACAAGAAATGAGGCAGGCAAGCAGGCAGGCAGGCAGAGCCAGTCGGCACACACAACGTCCTTCGTCCAGCAAGCAGCAGCAGGAAGTCGAAGTGAAAGCGGAAGTGGAAGTTGCTTGCGTTATAAGTTGGCGCAGTTCCTATTTAACCTCAAGCCAACACGCACACACACACACAGAGACCCATCTGACAGCCCAATTTTGGGTACTGCATAGGTGCGCATAGCTGCTTATCGAGGACCACACATCTGTACGATGGCTTTGGGGAATTCCTGGCAAACAGCAGGCAAACAATAAAAGCCAACGGTTGCCCTCTTGTTCAGTCCCAAAAATGAATGGGGGAGTACGACTACAACTAGGACTCTCTCTCACTGAAATCAATACGAATTGGGTCACCGCCCTCCTACTCCTGCTGTCCATCCTGCCGGTGTGCAGTGTGTGTTGGCCATTTAACCACATATCACAGGAGCAGAAGCAGAAGCAGGAGGAGCCAAAGTAGGCGGGCATGACAGTGGGTGATTGTGACACCACCAACAAGCGGGCAAGGAACGGCATTTTGAGTTGCAACATGTAATCTGGACTTGTCGAACAAGTGTCTCCCAAGAGCAAAAGCCTGCTGAATCCTGCCGCCCACACCCTGCCAGCAGAATGGGCACATACCACAGCTGATATCTAGAAGGAAACGCCTGTGCATGGGCATCTACATTAAGTCAATCAATCTCTGATTGAATACCTTTAAAAAAAAACACAAGATTCAGTGTCTGAGAGCTCTTTAGTGATCCTTCAGCACAGGGATCAAGTGAGACAAGGGAGCAGGCTTTCGGATTGAAGAACCCTACACAGTGGGTCCTGGAACCGTTTAGACTTCTATGCCGTTGCAAGAGTATACTCTTAAAAGCCGCTGCAACAGACTCAAGACTACCTCCCGAAGAGAGAGATCAGAGGAAGTACAAACCCATTAACATTCCCCCCAACCATCTTCGAGCTCTTTAATAATAGGAAAAACAGAAGAACCAACTAAGATTTACATTTTGGTTCATGTGTTTTTTGGCTGCTTTTTCCCTGCAAGTGACTGCCCCATTTCCCCCCACCCATTGAGGGGCAATTTCCACCACCTACCGAGATATGGGCCAGCGATTATTTCGTTTACATTTACATTTACACCAAATGCAGGCAAATGGGAACGACAGGCCAGACCCAGCCCAGCCAGCCGTTTGGGGCACTCGAGAATTCGTGGAGAGTGTGGAGCTGTCTGGCTGGCATTTCTGGTGCTTCCATTCGGTTGTTGGTCGTTTTGGCATTCCCATTCCCATTCGCTTTAAGATTTGTCATTTATGATAAGCTGCTCCGCCCGGGCAAAGTGGAGGGCATCGTTTAGCAGAGAGAACATCGAGAGATTCGAGAGATTCGATGGAACTTAAGCCAAAGTGAAAGCTCGGATTGCAAAAGGTTCTCTCTGAGGGAATCTACAAATATTTGAAGCCCGAAGGAAAGAACAACAAAGAAGCTGAAATATAAAGAAATCTTTTATTAGAAATTTAATTTTGGTTGGTGCATCGCTCGATGGGAAACTTCCTTGTGCAGCAATCGGGCTACACTTGAGTAAATCAAACCCAGCAAGGCTGGCTCAAGATTATGCTCCTTTGGCTCTACGAGGAGTTAGCTATGGGTTGCCTTGTGGCAACCTAATTATGCTTAAACTTGATTAAGTTTTAGAGCTTGATTGAAAAATCAAAATCAGCTTGGAGTGGCTGCGGATGTGCCTGTACCGTGTACACAAAATGATGAACAAGGTCGAGCGATGGCCAGGAGAACCAAAGATGAAGGGAGCTGCGGTGACAACTTGTCTTCCGTGACTAAGGCGGCGCTTCCGGCTTCCGTTGATATGGCAAAGTGGCGAACATGGGCGGGGATGGTTCCCGCTTAGTTTGTTGCATGTTTAGACATTTTGCCCCGCCCGCTGGCCTTGGCTGTGCGTGACATTTGGCGGAAATGGAAGCAGAACCTGTGGAGGGGCCAAGTATAATCGAAATGCAAAGACACTCCTTTGACTTTTTTGCTACTATCCAGCATCGGCGCTTTGTGTTATTTGTGATTTTTCACGATATGCAGAGACTTTCTTTGAATTTTCATCGATACAGCCCCATGGCTGACATGTACAAAATATTTAAAATGATTTAAGGTCAAAAGATAACCCAAAAGATCGAGCATAATGTTGAATTTCGCATCCCATGGCACTGAAGTATGCATTTCGGTGCAGTCGGTACATTCTTGAATGCATTTTACTCCAACACAAGGCCAACATACATGAAATGTGTCAAATTGTTGAACACTTTGACAGTGGCAGGGCCCCCTGCCCGCACTCTGCACTCGAGCCTAATGAAATTAAGCAAAAATCGATGGCACGCCTGACATATGGCTTGCTCCCTCTCTCTGTGCCTTTGACTTTGACTAATGAAATTCCAGGCAGGCAGGCAGGCAGGCAGGCAGGAGGAGTAGACTCCACACGAGCAGCAAGTGCTAAATGCTAAATCAAGTAATTGTAACTTCAACGCAAAGGCCTATGGCTGGACATGCTTGACTTTAGTTGGAATGGAAACATGTTCGAGAGGGTAGATATTTAAGTAAGGAACGGCAAGGGATTTGGCATCCCATCCCTTCCGGTTGATACTTTGAACTCCAGGATTCAGCTATGATTATTATTCATTTATTTCATGGGTGCAGCTTTTATCGAGCAAGTGAACAATCTGTGGTAAAAACTGTTTTCGTGGGTTTCGTTGCGTTTCGTTTTGTTTCGATTCAGTAATCTACCCGTAAGCTACTTAGAAGTCCATTTCCATGGCCCGAAAATGCACTGATAATTGGTTCGATTCAAGTTCGATTTGTGACTGTCTGTGTGTCCATTGTGTGGTGTCCACCACCATTCAAAATCGCTGTGTTTGGCCAGCCGTACAGGAAATATCCTGCCAACAATTCAAATGCCAGCTCCAGTCACTGTGGGCTGCCTCCGCCCACTCCTAATGATGCCTGTGGTTAACGATGCTGCTGCTGCTGCTGCTGGCGGCGGCGGCTCGGCTCGGCTCTTAATTTGCTTCTCAGAATGGGAGGGAATGATTCGAAATTGGGTCGACCTGCCTCTCCACCCCCTCTCTGTGGTCCTACCATCACGACAATGAAGTATGCAAAAAGTTTTTAATTAATGTTGATCAATTAGTATCATCGAATTAATTAACTTTGCTCAATTGAATTCTAGGAATTTCCGCATAATTTCATTTGCCACTCGATCGAATCCAGTGCTCTGTTTTTTGTTGTTTTTTGTCTTCTGTTGCTCAATTTGTGGGCCTCTTATTTAGCGGTTGGGAACTTGGGAAAAACCAATTGCTCGTGCTATAAATGGACTAGGGAATGCGCTTATCGTAGAACTGGTAAGGAATTGAAAAACATCAGTTGGTGATGAGAAGAAGTCCAATAAGTATTCCAAAAACACTCACAGAAAACAACTATCTAGAAAACAATTCAAAGACCCATTGCTAGTGAGAATTAACGCTGTTCATTGTGGGGGAGAATACTTACTGCTTGCCAGAATAGGGCAAGGAGAGATGGAAAATACCCATTGTCCGCCACTTGATTGAAGCGTTTGTTAAGGTCCCATCTAACAATGGACGAGCGATGAGAGCCCACAGCGGAATGGGACGAAAGGGCAACGGGAACGGCAAAGGAGACGGCAGGGAACGAAGAGAACAGAACGAAAGACAACGGCCCCCGAGGCGCACCAAAATTGGCGCACAAAATCCCAGCAAAGAAATCGGGGGCGAGGCCCTGTAATAGAGTTTTAATTGTGCCCTCTGCTCCCCACCACCAGCCCAACTCATGCACTTGCCCATGCCACGTGGGCATTCCACTCGATCTGGAGCCGCTGGCATCCCAATTCGACGGCACAAAGCGCAGCCAATTGGCAAAAATGCTTTGACACACCGGAGCGGAGGCCGCAAAGCCAGAAAACACAGAGAGAGTGAGTGAGAGATAATGCAAACAAGCAGAAACACACTCTAAGCGCGCTTTGCTCAATGAGCCATACGGCAGTCGGACATCAGTCGATTAGCAGGCAAAAACTAACACCAAACAAAACATGAAAAGAGATTTTCCGTTAAGTCTGACCGACAACCGAAGAGTTTTCTACCATAACAGACGGCATTGAGCCGCCAACAGACGCAAGAAGCTGCACACACTATAGACAGTCTCCCTGGAGCCCTTTGGGATAGAGGATAACATTATCTACTTGGAGCAATGGATCCTACTATGAATAAAACCAACAGAAAATGTGTTGATTGATGTGGTGACATGCAAATTTATGCAGGAACCAAACTATGAAAAGTGCAACAAAGGGTAGCTCTTATTCGATGACAGCTTTCGCCTAAACAAAAAGTAAAAAGGCAAATGGCAAAGCCAAACAAAATGGAACCCCCCCCCCCCCTGTCACGCTGCATTCCATTGAACTCCCCATAGCCATGACCATGCCATCGTATCAAATGCTCCAATCCTGTGCCATTCCTTTCTATTCCATTCCATTCCATTCCGAATGCCAATTACCTCGCTTAGCGGTCTATTCAATTGGCATCCAATTGTGGTTTTTGAAATTATGCGACGACTCTTTGTTGGATGGAGGATGGGGAATGGAGGTATAGCGGGGATTGACACGGGCATGAGTCTCTTCCTGGGTATGCAATTTCTACTGCATGTACTATGGTTGTACACTGTGTCTAGTGAGTTTTATTCAGATTATTCGGTATGCTTTGTGTTCCACGTTTCTATAGCAAGGGGGGGCTCCGATGTCGCGGCAGCTACTGATTCTTCTGCCGCTGCTTCAGCTGCATTTCATGGGCCCCCTCCGCCTGTCGAGCAGGAAGCCAGCTCTCGGCCACATCCAGATTGAGTTCTCGCATGAAGAGAATGGAGAGTCGTCGAAGCCATTGCAGTTCCTCCTCCTGTCGCGCCAGATGCTCTTCACCATGAACCTCCTCTGAGGGATCTAGCTTTTCAAGTGGCCCTAAATGCGGGAACATATTGGCGGACATGCGACGAGCCAGGCCACCATCATCACCGCCGGCATCGGGCAGCCCACAGACCTGGCTCTCGAACATGGTGGCTGCATGGCGCAGGCGCGTCTGGTGCACCATGTTCCGGATGAGTCGCGCATGGGCCCGGGAGCGGCGCACACTCTCGCTGAAGACCTCCAACTGGTTGGTACGGTGCTCTGGGCTACTGAAGCGGTTCTCGTGGACCCGCTCGATGTCCTCGTTGATGACCAGCAGTGCGCTTTGAGCCAGTTCTCGCTCCTGCTCGGATGGCATGAGGCGTGCCAGGGACACGTAGCCGCGCAGCAGCTCCATCAACACATCAAGGACCATCAGCATCGAAGCGTCTTCGTACGAGACACTCGGGTGAGTGCCCGCTCCCCGACTAGTGCTGGGCCTCGGCTCATCCTCCTGCTGTCCGTTGGCGGCCATTGTCCTTCCTGCTGTCGAAACGAAAATAAAAAGAATTTGGAATTTAGTCGTGTGGGATTGGGGTAAAGTTGGGGTTTGGTTTGTTACTGATCCCAAGGACTACTTAGATTGGCTGCTTGTAGTTACAATTAGAAAAATGTTTCCAATCAACGTAGGGTGTAATTTAATTATTTTAAAAACCATTAATCCGCGGGGAGAATTGTTTTCCTTTTCCCTCAAGCACAAATCAATTCGTTTTCAAGTTTGAATTAATGGCGAAGAATTCGTCCTAAAATAATGCAAAATGCTTGCAGCTTATGCAGAAATATCTTCTTAAACGTAAAGCCCCGAGAGTAGTTTTAAATATGTGCACAATAAATTGCAGGAAGTATCATGAATCCTTAATCTCTGACCAATTTGCTTGCTGCTTTTTACTGAATTCTCTTGATAGAAAGAGCACAAACACTGCCTCCTATGTATACGAATATATGCTGTGTAATACATGCAGGTATAACATACCCTCAATCTCTTTTTATAGCCTTATTCATACATTTATTTCTTATATCCAACAGTTTTTCGCTATTTTATACTGCAGGCTGACTGGCAACAGAGGCACATAGCTGGCATATATATCACAGGGTCTGTCCGTCCGGCGGCTGCTGCTGCTGCTCCTCATTCCACTCCATCCCCTTTCAGAGGAGTTGCTGGGCACCGGCGGGAGTTTCTCTCTCTCTCATCAGGCGAAGGCAATTAAAAATGTATTGAAAATGGATTTTATATGCGCCGGTCACCTCCCTGATGGGCATCTGCAGCAACCAGCTGCAGTAGTCGGTGGCAGTTGGCCATTGGCCGTGGGCATCCCCAGTGGTCATCACTGTCCCCGATTGTCAACGTTGTCTGTGTTGGCCAGACATCTACCTGATCCTGCTGCTGCCTCTCCCACTGCGGCTGCTGTTTTATCCGATTTAATTGCAACGTTTAAAAATTTCCATAATTTTGCGCTCTCTGTTTGCTCTGCACTGCACGCCTGGCTGCACTCCAGCTCCTCCTACTCCTCCTGCTGTTTCCGCTGTTCAGTGCCGACCCCGACGCGACTCGACGGCGGCCTTCCTGAAACGATTGTGCGAGCCGGCGCCAAACTGTTTGCCAGCAGCCAGCAGGGCCGTGGAGCCGGCCACCTCGTCCTTCTGGGGCAGATGGGCCACATGCAGAATGTCGTAGAGCAGCTTGCCACATTCCTGCGACTGAAGCATCTCGGACAGCTCCGCCTGGGTGCGCAGCAGCAGCTGGTGCAGGCTGCCGCCCTTCCGCAGCAGGCCGTACACATTGCGCGTATGAACGCCGGGCAAACGGAGCAGGAAGTCGTGTATGCCGCTGTTATACTGCAGCTGCTCGCCGGCCACGGGCTCCTCGCTGCCGAGGGCCACGGCCTGGCGGGGATCCGGCTCCGGCTTGCCCAGCTTCAGTTCCTCAAACAGCTGGGCCGTCGCGTACGGACTGGGTGACCAGATGAGCCGCAGCCGGGGGAAGTGCAGTGTGAGCAGCTGCAGCTTCTGCACAATATCCGCATTGGTGGCCGTCGTCTGCTGCGACAACATGAACTTTCCCTGCAAATGGAACGGCTTGTTCTGGTCAAACTCGATGAGCAGTATGGGCTTGGCATAGTGGCGCTGCATCTGGACGCACTGATTGTACAGCCTTCCCGAGTTGAGGGATCCAATCAAATCCGAGATTGACTTGCGCTCCACGCACACCTCCGGCGTCAGTATATAATCCCCGATGGATATGGTCAGCGGCAGCACCTCCAGCCCGCGCTTGTGTATGAGACAGGGCAGATCCGAGCGGAACTCTCGCATGTCCACAATCACCTTTGGCGTCTCCCTATGACCCTGCGGCTGTCCGCCCGCTAGTCTACTCTGGGCATTGTCCCCTGCCGGCTCGTCATCGTAGCTCTTGTAGAGTACAAAGGCCTCATCCGTCTTGCCGTCCTGGTACTCGGGCACAACCATTTTCTGCAACAAAAAAAAGGAGTATCACAAATGGGTACATGAATGGAGCCCGTTAGGAGTCAATCTATTCGAAGTGTAAGCAGAAGGAGTTAAATATATGTGAGATTTGAGTCTGCACATTCAAAGAGAGTAACGGACTCGTTCGAGGCACAGAAAGAGCTAAAGGTAGAAACATATTCCTACAAGAACCGTCTTTAGAGGCATTTAAGTAATTTTCCATAAATTTATATCATAGAGTAGGCCTGCCTGTCATTCGTTTTCAAAGTTATCCATAGTTTGGAGCTCTGACTTTTCACACATTTCAGTCTCATAGTTAACAATTCGCTCAACGAGTCAACACCAAATTATTTTCTAGTTTTCGGATTTTTAATTTTTAATTTTTAATTGTTGTGTGTTATTTTTGGTGCTGTTTAATATGAGTGGAAAGGGATCCATTCAAATGGGTGCTGTAAGCCGCAAGGCGTTTCGGGAGTTTGTGCATGCATATCGTAGAAAGCACATGGGCCTAACCTCGATAGAAGCCGTGACCTGTGCCACCAAGGCATGGGGCAAGCTAACGAGCCAACAAAAGTGCAAATTCGAGGTAGGTTAAACACTCTTTCCATTCTGCCCACATTACTTAAGACGATTCCTTTCCAGCCTGCCGCTGTAAAGATACGACCAAAGTTTCTGGTGCAGCAAAGCGAAGCAGCTGCCACCCGGCGACGCAGGGCTGCCGAGAAGAAGAAACAGCGTTCGAGTCGGAAGAGTCCGAATTTTTCTATCCTAGATCGCGTCAAGAAGCTATTCACGGGCACAGCTGCACACAGCAAAAAGGGCAAGTGTAACCTGAGCACGAAGAGAAAGCGCAATTGCAAGTAGAGAAGCAGATCCCAGCGCCGGGACAACACATCTAAATATCTGTTAAAGCAACTTCAACACAAAAACAATTACAAATCCCCCATTTCGGCCAAGCAAAATATTTATTTGACTCACGCTTTTTGTATCGATGATCAGCTCAAAGGCGGCCTTCTCGCGCCTGAGGCTCGTCAGGTAGGACTGCTCCTCGACGGTCCGTGCGTGGATCAAAAAGTAAACCTTCATACGTTCGGCGGGGGGCAGGCGGCGACGCGCTTCAAACACTTCCAGCTGCCGTATGGCCGTCACATTGGTGTTGTACATGACCACATGGTGCGGCTGGAGCTGCTCCAGCATATTCTCCAGTGCCATTGAGCCCTCGCGCTCCGTCTTGAAGGTCTGCAGGCAAACGTAGGGCTGCTTTAGGTGTGCTGCAGCCTCGAGGGCAGCCGTCACATCGAATTGTTCGAGTTCGGGTATTGTTTCGAAAATTGAATCATTCGGATCCGATTTTAGTTGCTTCTCCTGTGACTGACCCTGTGGCTGTGGCTGTGGCTGGAGCTGTGTCTGGGTCATCGTTAGCATGTAGCTCTCCTCAAAATGCTGCGCCTCCGCATCCGTTTCGCTTAGTAGCTGCGACAACTCATCCATTGCAACAGCAGCAGCTGGAGGCTGGGAGGACTCCACTGTGACTCCTGAGGCTCCTGCTTTGGGGGTGGCTGCTGATGCTGGTTTTCCTGTCGCAATGGACTGACTCTCGCGTGCATACTTGTCGCTTAGATTGCCCACGGGCACCTCGTGGTGCAGGGCCTGCTGCAGCAGGAAGCGTGGACCGCCCTGGGTTAGGTACTGCTTCAGCTGGTAGCAGGTGCGCGTATCCTGGCATAGTATCAGCACCTTGGGCTGCTCCACTCGATGCTTCTCCTGCGATATGTCCTGCGTGAGCAGCTCAGTCAGTGCCTGCCACTTGGGGCATGGCTCAGGTTCGAATTCTGTTGGATTTAATGTCATTTTAGGGCTGCACTCTGCTGGCTGCTGAGAGACTCACCCTGCTGGCCATTGTAGACGCGCTGCTTGGATAGCTTGAAGATCTGCTCGGCGGCATCGAGGAGCGTCCATCCCGAGTTGCTCAGCGCATACTCCGTGCTGCGGTAGCGCTTCATCAGGGCATAGGCGCTCACAGCATCGTGATACATGGTGGAGCTGTAAATGTGATCGAAAGTTGAAGCCAAATTCTACGTAGACTGTGCCCAGACTGGGCGGCACTCACATCATCAGGCTGCGCAGGATCTTGAGATCGGCGACAATCAGCTTCGTCTGGGAGTTGAGCTGATGCCAGATGCAGTCCAGCTGCGCCTGCAGAATCTTGTGGAACTTTTTGGTGACACAATTCTCGACGGTGACGGCCTCCATGTCCACGTTGCGATTGATGCGCTTGATCTCGCGCACCAGAAAGTTCATGATGTCCAGAATGTGCGTCTGGATGGAGGTCATGTGCTGGCTGAGCGGTACATGCAGCTCGATCGTCTGCGCCTGCCACGGCTTGAGGGCGCCGCGTACTGTGGCATGGAATCGCGGCCAAATGTAAAGCTGCTTCACGAACAGATTGCGCATGGTGCGCTCGATGTGCGAGTAGCCGATGGTGAAGGCCTCCGGACTGTTGGAGAATGCCTTTACGAAGCCCGTCTTGTTGCGCTGCCGGTACAGGCGCAGGGCGAACGCCTCCTGGCAGCTCTCGATGATGGTGTGCGCTCGCAGCACCACTATTCCGGTGATCAACTCGATGGGGATGCGCTGCTTGAGCAGATCAACCACCAGGATCCGAGTACTGATGAACTGCAGCCCTCCCTCCAGATAAACACGCTCCCTGCGGCACAAACACGAATATGAGTGAGAGAGAGATATTAAAAGGAAAGCGAATGGTTTTGTTTTTTTTGTCTTTTTTCTCACCTTTCTGTTGCCGTATTGGCCACCTCGTGGATGTATTTGGCTTCCATTTTCGATTTGTAGTAAGTTTCTTCCCAGTCGGAGCTATTGATAACCAGAATTAGGTTTCCAGCATCGCTGTACGCCTTGAAAATGTGAACCAAGGCGCGCTCATAGCTCAGGCCCCTTGTTAAGGGCGGAGAATTCAAGGCGTTACTAGAGTGTGGGCACGCCAGAATGGGGGGAAACACTTACTTGGCACACACTAGCAGACCGTCCGCATGGACCAGATCGAGAAACATTTGCTTCTCGTACTCCAGAAGGACGACATCTTTGCTCATCAAATACTCCTCGGCGGTCACGACGTTGGCTAACTCCTCATCCTCCTGCACGGCCGCGGCTGTCTGCAGTAGATTCCTTGTATCCGTCTCCTGGGACAGCTCTTTGCCCGCCTCAGGCTCAGTTTCAGTCTTTTCCTCTGCCTCGGCAGTGTTTTCCGCTGCAGTCTCGGACATGGCTTTGCAAAAATATTTCACAATTCGCACAAAAAATGCCGGGCTAATCAGCTGTTTGCAGATATCGCTAATCGATTACCGACGACCAATGGCGGGAAAGTGCTGCCAGACTGCCAGAGCCGGTAAAAACAATACATAAATATTGATTTTAATAAAGAATACAATGCAACAATTAGTAGAAAGCAACAAAGCATTAATTAAATTACAATAATTCAACACTCGATAGCGTTTTATTATGCATTTTGAATATGTACGTGCAGTGTCTACGGGGCTGCCAGACTGTTGGAATTGGTATATTTACAAAATGTTCAAAAACGCAACAACTAAATGAAAATAAATAAAACATTCATTAGAAATTGTTGATTATGTATAACATACGACTGCTGCGGCACCTGCGATGGCCTGGGGGCCCCCACCGCCTGATGGCCAGCCAGCATAAGCGGCCCCATTTGCTGGGCAGCTCCGACCAGCTGGAGCAGCTGAAGAGCAACTACTTCGAAAGGCGTCAGGAGCTGAGCGGCGATGAGTGGCACAGCGTGCGGCACTCGCTAATCGAGGGCTACAGGCACATCAATGGCCACAACGTGGACGCCGTCATCCTGGGCGTGTGCAGCGGGCCACAGCAGCTGCCGCTGGCCAAGAACTACGTGGATTACCTAAAGAGCACGGGGGCCGAACCCAATGCGGCCACCCTGGGCCGCCTGCTGCGCGTCTACAATGCGGCCTATCACACACGTCCGCTCAGCGAGGAGGAGCAGCGGGACATACTCAAAATCTGCGAGTCGCTGCAGGCCGCCCACGAGACTCTGGACGCCACCAGCTGCGAGCAGTTGATCCACGGCCTGGTGGCCACCACAGACCACTGGCAGCGTGCCCTGCCACTGCTCGAGATGATGAAGGTGACCAGCACGCCCAGCGTATCCGCCTACAGTGCCCTCACAGAAAAGGCCTTCGGGCAGAGCGACCAGACGGAGCTGGCCTGGCGCCTGCTCGAGGAAATGGTCCTGGCCCGCAAGCAGCCCAAGTGCGAGGTGTACCTGGCCCTGCTCAACCGCCTCGCCCAGGAGCCAGCTACCGCCAGCGTCCAACTGGAGCGTCTGCTGCAGTTCCTGGAGCGCCACAACATTCTCGTCAGCCAGAAGGTGGCCGAACGGCTGCTCCAGCTGGGCGAGCAGCTGCCACAACAGCTGCGGGTGACCGCCAGTCGACTGGGACCGTTGGGCAAGTGCCTGGAGTGCCGGCAGCATCTGCAGCCGGTGGCCATCAGCGAAGAGCAGTTCCGACAGCTGAGCGAATGCTTCCTGGAGAAGGTGCTCATTCGGGGCGATGTGTTCCAGAAGTCCACGCCCGAGGAGGTGCTGCGCTTCAAGCAGTACGTGGAGAAGACCGCACCCTACGACTGTGTGATCGATGGCCTCAATGTGGCCTACTCAACGGGCGCCAAGAAGGCGCCACAGCAGCTGGCAAAGCTGCTCGCGACTGTGGTGCGGCACTTCAAGGAGCGCAACAAGCGTGTGCTGGTCCTTGGACGCGAGCACATGCGCAAATGGTCCAAGTCGGCCATGCACTATGTGCAGAACAATGCCAGCCTCTTCCTTACCAACAATCTGTAAGTGGGGAGTCCCTCCGCATGTGATCTGTGACTCACATTCCTCTCTCTCTCTCGGCAGGTCGCACGACGATCCGTTTCTGCTTTATGCAACGCTGAGAAGCGGCCAAGAGACAGACTTCTTCTCCAGGGATCTGATGCGCACCCACGCCTTTCTGCTGGGCGCCGAACTGAAGCCCATCTTCCGACGCTGGCAGCAGGAGCATCAGTTCTCGCTGGTAACCCAAACGCAGACGGGAAGGATCATTGTCAAGGAGCCCATACGGCATCGCCTCTGCGTTCACAAGGCAAAGGCTGGCTCCTGGCATGTGCCCTACTGCGAGGCGTACACCCCGAATCCCACCGACAGCTTTGAGGTGCCCGAGCACTGGTTGTGCCTCAGCCTTAAGACTTGATGGATGCTCGTGTATCCCGATTTATTGGACTAAATATATGTAGAACCCGACTGACTACTGGCTACTCGCATTGGGGGACTTGGCACTTGTATGTCGACTGCTGCGTGTGACGACGACGCTCGTAGGCGATCTTTTTCTCGGCAGCGCACTTGAGGCGAGGCTTGATGTGATTGTCCATCTCCAGGTCCAACTCAGCGGACTTGGCCAGCTCGTTGGGATCGCGAGCCGCGGCCGAGTGCAAGGCTCGTGATCAAACGAGACTGAGCAGAGCGTGAGCGAGGCGATGGCTTACATCATACTCTATGACATCCTCGCTGGTGTAGAAGGCTGCACACCGATGGCCAGCAGCACGTTGCAGAAGATGCCGCGCTGCATGCGGGCATAGGGATTGAACAGCTGCGACAGTATGCGCATTGTGGTGGCCAAATGGGCGATGAACCTGTCAAAATTCTTGATGAGCACGTTCAGGTACTGTGTAAGACACTGGCTCTCCTGTTTGGTCAGAGTCGCTCCATTGTCTCATTGCTCTTGAGTACCTCAGCGAGCTGTCTGCTGCGAAAAAACATATCGTTAGAGTTTAGCCTCTTGCCTTTTGTGCACTTACTCTGTGGTTATGGCATTGTACTTGCCCGCTGCTTTGGGTTGTAGTAGTCCTTGTACTGTGCGTACGATCTGGCCACATCGCCGGGTCGTGTCTTGGGCGGCATGGATGGCTGGTAGGCCATGCGGCGCACATACGAATTCATCTTGTCCACGTTCTCCTGCTGCCTGCGCTGGCGATTGCTTGGACTGCAGTAATGTGGATCCTCCTCCTCGACCTCCTCGCTCGTCGATGTCGGCATCGGTCCATCCCAGTCGGACACATTCGAGCTGGCCATTGTTTATTAACAAATTCAAATTGTAATCACACGGAAATTTGGCAAAAACTATAGAAAACGAGAAGGGACGTGTGAGACGCTTCTTACGCGTCACAACTTTTATACCCGGCACTCAGGACTACATCTAGATGTAGAAGACATCGCCAACCACTAGATATCGTTCACATTACAGAACACGTAGTAAAAAGCCTACTAAATAAAATGCATCAAACAAATTTTATCAGTTTATCCTATTTTCCAATTTATGAGATATTTAAAACAGCAATAAAATTGGTACTTTTTCCCTGCACATTCTGTGCAATAAGTTTCACAGCAGATTTTTCGAAAGTGGCGCCACCTATGAAAATTTCTTATACGCAACTTTGATGGTCACTCTTTTTCTAATACAGAGCGTTAAAAACCGAGTCTTGGTTTTAACTTAAATTAACTTAAATTAGCTTTTGGCCACTGTTTCCGCAACTCCTCGCAACCAGTTCGGAATCAAAATCTCGAAATAAAAAGCCAAGTGCTGCTGTTCGACCGAGTCGGAATTCAAATCAATTCTCTTCTTCTTTTCAATTTCGATATTGACCTATTAAATGCATGTTTTTCCTCTTTCTCTATCGTATTCACATATCACATGTATGTTCTATAGCAACAAGCTTCTGTCAGTATGTCGTAAATGCAACAATTCAATAGCTTAATGCTACAAATTCATTTTACTTATACAAAATACTAATTGCTCCCGGCCATAATTTGTCTAATTGGCGTAAACAGCCACCAAAACTGGTCATTGGGACAATAGTGCATCTGCACCTCAGCGGTGTTTTCTCAAATATTGGCTCATTTTTGAAAAAAACTGGTTTCAGTGTGAGCATACAGCAGTCCGGAGCCAAAATTTGGTGGCTCTAGCTCTTATAGTCTCTGAGAACTAGCCGACAAACAAGACGGACAGACAGACATGGCTCTATCGACTCGGCTATTGATGCTGATCAAGAATATATACGTTATGGGGTCGGAAACGCTTCCTTCTGTGCGTTACATACAACCGTTATTCGCACAAATACAATATACCCTATTTACTCTTTGAGTACCGGGTATAAAAAAACGAAAAATTTACTTATTTTTGTTAAATGAAACTCGAAATACTTTGGAGCTCTCCCACTTAAAATTTTTAGTTGTTGCTTAGTCGAACGTTGAATGTTAAAAGAAAGAGGGACGGAATGTCCTTCTCCTCTGTGGGGTGAACCCTTCACAAATCTCTCGACCTACAACATTTTATTATTTTTTTCAGTTTGCCATTAAAACTACATCATTTAAAGCTATTTGTGTGTGTGTTTGTGTCTAGTATATATGTAAACTGCTCTTTTAGTTGCTATCTTTCTGCACGGAGCGCTCCAGGGCGAAGGTGTACTCCTCGGCCAGACGATCGACGGACACCTGGCGCGTTAGGAGGGCCAGGGCGGCGTCCATCTGCTGCTCGGCACTGAGACTGGCGTCCTTGGTGGTCAGTTGCGGTGACAGCTGGAAGGGTATGTCGTCCAGATAGTTGTAGCTTGGTGGGCCGCTTTCTGGCGCCGCGAAGGGCACCGCGGGCGGGTATATCCTGCCAGGAGCTGCTGGGCTGGGCTTTCGCTCAATGAACACAAAGTCATCGCCAGTGCTGGGGCGTGGCGCATCCGCAGGACCTTGTATGAAATCCTCTGTGGGTGTGGCGGCGGGCTTGCGCTTGCCAAAAACCGAAAACATATTCTCAAAATTTCACAACAAAAAAACTAAATAAATGACGATTTAAGCTAAATAGAGATGGGACTATTAATCGATTCCTTTCGATGTACGGCGAGCCCAGAGCGTTGCCACTGTCTTCGTTTGATGCGCACAGGGCTGCATGCGTTGTGTGGTCGGTATGGCTTTCAACTCTTGTCAAAAATTAGCGACAACAATTTGTGTACAGATAATTGCTAAAGTTAAATAAAAAAGTGTTAAACATGTCGAAGGTGGACCAAGACGCCAGCACCTCGGCGAGCATCATGGAGGTAGGTGATTGCGGCTGCCCAATGCACAGATACTGTCCGATGCACCATCCGATGGGCCAGCAGTCTCCGCGTACACGCTGGCGGACGCCCCCGTCTGCCCGCTCAATTGGGATATACACAGATTTTAACAATAAATATCTCACCATCTCTGGTATTTTGTGTGTTTTCTGTTCAGCAAATCAAGGTGCTCATCGAGCCGCCACCCAACGAGGACGAGAAGGCCGTGAAGGGCACCACAAACACGAAGCATCCGTACTACAGGCGCCCGGGTCGTGGCCACAATCACGATTATTGCGATGCCTGCGAGGAGGGCGGCAATCTGCTGTGCTGCGACCGCTGCCCCTCCAGCTTTCACTTGCAGTGCCAGTAAGTAGAAATGCGATATGTCCGTCCCCTCGTAGTTAGCCCGGCCCCGTAGTTAGCTCCGCCAAGTGCCCAGTGTTCTAGTGTTCGCACCCATTCCCTTTTCCCCCATGCAGTGATCCGCCGCTCAGCGAGGAGGATATACCCAGCGGCCAGTGGCTGTGCCACAGCTGCCGCATGGTGAAGGTTGTCCAGCCACGATCCAAGGCAAATTCCGTGGAGCGCGTTCCCTCGGGTGGGAGTGGTGGCTCGCGCGGGCACACACCCTCGTCGGGGGACCTGGAGTCGATACCGCAGAAGATCCGCAATCTACGCAAGCGGAGCAACAGCGAGCGCAACAGCACCGAGAAGCTGCTGGCCAAGATGCCGCGCGCCATACAGCGTGCCCTCGATCCCAATAAGCGTCCCACGCCGCTGGACGACATCATACGCGCAGCGAGCATGCTCAATCCGCAGCAGTTCTCGCTGCCGCCCGAGCTGGAGCTGCACACGCAGTTCCCCGGCAACGGCAAGGTGCAGCCGGTGCAGCAGACGCAGCCGCATGTGGGCAATGGCCGGAACAGGGTGTCGGGGAATCAGCGTCGCAACTCGAAGCCGTTCGAGCTGGATGGGCAGGGACTGGTGCCGCTGCCGGCCAAGACATGCTTCTACTGCAGCAAGTCGTGCAAGCGGGCGCCGCTGCTGTCGTGCGACTACTGTCCGCTGTTCTACCATCAGGACTGCCTGGATCCGCCGATGACGGCGCTGCCGGCGGGACTCTGGATGTGCCCGAATCATGCCGAGAACTTCATAGTAAGTGCTCCTCCTTCTGCCACTCCCACCACCACCACCACCACCACCACCACCTCCTCCTCCAGCTCCATCAATCCTGCAACAAAGCCTGCTCTCTCTCTCCAGGACGCCCACATGACCACCAGCATTTCGGCGACGGAGCGTGTGCGTCTGTGGAATCGCTTCAACCAGCCGGTCGACCACGAGAGCGTCAAGATGGAGTTCTTCCGCCGGGTGCACACCCGCCATCCCCCCTTCCGCACCAAGACCACCGTCCGTACGCGCGCCCACATCGATGTCCCGGCCAGTGTCCGCCACCACTACGAGCATCCCCCGCCACTGCTCCCCTCGATGCGCCAGACACTGCGCTACGATGGGGTGAAGCGTCGCAAGAATCTACCCAATTCCGTCGAGGAGATATCCAAGGAGACGGTGACCGAGTCTCTGCTCAAGGATCTGGAGGCACTGCGCTCGGCCCATGCCAAATTCCGTGAGATACAGCGGGAGTATGGCAATGGCCAGGACATGGAGGACAGCGACAGCGACACGAGTCCAGACCCTGCAGAACCAGAGGCGGGTGCGGAAACGGCAGGGGCAAACGCTCCAGATAAGCTGGAGAATGGCACGACTGCCATGGAGCAGGGAGGAGCAGGAGAACCAAAAGTGGAGGCCATCAAGATCGAGGAGCAGCCAGAGAATCCCCAGCTGGACCTGAGCTTCGACGAGGAGGAGGAGGCAGACAGCAAGTCGGCGATCATCGATGCAGATCTGCGCCACCTGGACGTGGACATCATCAAGAAGCTGGCCCACCAGCGCCTGCAACAGCTTGTCCAGGAGCATCCGGAGATTGTCACACAGTACAAGAATCGCACGGCCGCTCGACGTTTGCGTCAGCTGACGGCACAGCAGCAGCCGGCGGTGCCGTGCGTCGCACTGCAGGGCGATCTGGCCCCCGAGGACATGAATCGTTTCTCGCTGCTTTTCACCAGCGAAACGTCATCGATACTGGCGCAGAAGAACGGCAATGCCGCCGACGAGGATCCCATGATGGCCCTACATCCGGCTCTGGCCACAGCTGCGGCCATTGCGGCTGCCGATGCTGCCGCCGAGAGCTATGTGCCGCGAGTGCGCAGCGATGCGGAGAAGGCGTACGAGCTGGCCGCACGCCTCGAGCTGAAGCTGCTGCAGTGCAAGGTGCGTGCCCGTGCGGTGATGACGCCCCTGGGCGATATGCTCGAGGACAGCCGCTGGTTCAGCTCGCTGAGCCTGGACCAGTCGATCTATATGCGCTACCGCACCCTCTATGTGGGCTATGGGGGACACTTTACGCCCTCGACATCGATGTGCCACACCGAGACCGTTGATCTCTCCGCCATCGGCTACTGCAGCCGCATCTCGCCCCAGCACGCCATCATATTTTACGACGAGTTCTCCAAGTCCTTTGAGCTCATCAACTACTCAGAGTTCGGCACGGAGGTCAATGGGCAGCTGTACACGTGCGATCTAACCGAGAATGGCCGCACGAAAAGCGTCAAGCGCATGCGGCCCGACGATGCCGATCTGAAGCGTCGCGTCGATGAGATCCTGGACAAGCGTCGCCACATCGAGCGACAGTACGAGCCGAAAAAATTGGGCGAGGAAAGGTAAGTCTGGATGGTTGGGAAATATCATCAGAAAAATAATTATTATTATTTTTGTTTACAGACTGGTGGGCATCGTGAAGCCTGCCTGCCGCTGCCAGGCGACGGGTGAGCCGGTGCCCATGGTGCCCGGTGCTTGGGAGGGTGCCGCTGTGCTCGCTCATGGCACGCTCTTGCGCTTTGGCTGCCTTGCGTTTGTCTTCTCAGTACCCTCGAAGGATCTGCTGCAGGCACAGGCACGCGCCCAGCGACAGGCGTAGAACAGCACAGAAGTCCAACAAACACAGAGACAACCCCCCAGTCCCCCCCCCACACACATGTTTCCACATCCAGATAAATCTCAGTGAGAGCAGCTAGCAGACGTTTCCTATCCCCCAATTCATCCACCATCGCTCACATTTTAGAATACAATTTCACGCAGAAACACTAACGAAAGGAAGTTCCACGGAGGATCCACGAAGGATCATTGCAATTTTTTTTTTGTCACTTTAGAAGATGAACAACCGCCCCCCTCTCCCCACCCCACACACACACACACTCACACACAGTTGTATAAAAGATGAATAAAGTATAAGAATAAATACGATGAAGAAAATATGTAGTTTGAAGTTCATTTGCCATGTAAAGAGTTTTGCAACAGAGTTTCTTGCACTTCCACTGCTGTTCCTTGAACGAGCCCATAGATCCTGAATATATTTTACAGCATCCATAAACGAGTCGGAAGCTTCTTTTTGCTTGGGCAAAGTAAATGATTCCAGTTCAGTATTGCTCTGATAATTGCCAGATCTACCAGAGACAGTCTGCCTGCTGGTGCGCCTTCACCAACCCCACGTTTATGGTGGTAGACTCACTGACCATGCTCTGGCCATGGCTTTGACTTGCTCTGCTGCTGCTAGAGATTCCTAGGGACTCTTGCTGGGTCTCCTCCACGCGCAGCAATAAACACCCAGAAAATTGTATGGAAATAAAGTTTTTATTTCTTGAAGGACTATCGCCAGATGCAGATGCAGTCTGGCGATGGCCAAGGCAAAGGTTAGTATAAGAGAATGCAGCGGGGAAGGGGATAGAGTGGTGTATGCACAAAAGGAGCCTCCATGCAGAGGACAGAGGTGACACAGAGGAAGTAAGTACATCGAATACATTACGGACTAAAATGCAGTTGAAAAAAAAGTAGATAGGTTAAAGAATAATACAAATATGTATAAATGTAGATAAGAAACTATGGATGCCCGGACGGGGCTGTCGGGACAGTGGGCAGTGCCGTATCCTGGACACCATCGGGACTGCTGGCAGGCTGCACCGTTTTGGCAGCGGCAGCGGTGCGTGTGGCCCGTGAACGCTCCCATTCGAGTTTGTGTTTGCGCTTTGTGTGATGATACATATTCGATTTGGAGCGAAACTCTGTGGGGCAGAAGGAGCAGGTGTGCAGCTTGACGCCCGTGTGCGTGGCAAAGTGTTCCTGTGGCAAGCAGAAAGAAGAACAGATTGAAGAGAGGTTGAGTTGAGACTCCAGAAACTTACCTCTAGGTAGCGCTTCATTTTGAAACACTTGCCGCACACTTCGCAGGCATATTTGGGCTTTGTCAGGCAGCGATGATTGTGGCCAGGCAGCTCACCGCAGCTGGGACAAATGATGGGCGTGGCGGTGGCAGATAGAGGTGCATTATCCTCCATTCTGTGACGCCGCTTGTCCAGCATTCCAGGCACAGAGCTGAACACAGATTTGAGATTAGATCAAAAGTTATTTTGTGGCTTCTTTGCTGTCTGCCTCACCTGTATGGATGCGACAGTGCTCCTGCGCCGCCCGTCGTTACGGTGGTGGCTGCACTCGTACTTGCCGCCGCTGCCGTCATGGCCGTAAAGAGATCCTGCTGCTGCTGCTGCATCAGTAGACTCGCACGCAGACGCTGCTGCAGGCTGTCCGCCTGCCCGGTGGATGTTCGATCGTTAAACGAGGCCGCTGCCACCACGGCGGCGGCCACGGCATTGTAGTTGGCCAGCATCAGTTCGTTCTCCTTGAAGCGCTTGGGGTGATGCTCGTGACTGCTGCTGTTGTTGTCCTTGGCATCGTTATCGCCATCGTCATCTCCATCGCTGGCATGGCATTCGGTGCTTTGGACCTTCTTGGGGGACTGAGTTTTGCGGCGGCTGGAGCGAGTTGTGCGTGTGCGGGTCGTGGATGGAGACGTTTTGGCCATCGTCAGGTTGATGGCTTCGATGGAATCACTCTTGATGGCAGACAGTGGAAGCGGCGGCGGTGGCGAGGGTTGCGGCAGCGGCGGCGGAGGATGCTGCTGCTGCTCTTCTATCACGGATGGTTCGCTGGGCACCTCGGGCTGCGCGTGCAACTGATTCTGAGACTTGGCTGCGTCGCGCTCCTCGCGCGCCTTCAGCCACTGTGTGGTGTGCTTGCTCTTCACGTGCGTGTACATATTGGAGCGGCAGCGGAAGGCCATTTCGCAGTAGGCACAGGCAATGGGCCGATCCCCGGTGTGTGTGGCCACATGTTCCTCCAGATAGCGGCGCATCTTGAAGGACTTTTCGCAGAACATGCACGGAAACTTGTTGGCCGCCGATGCCGTAGCCGCAGCTGCCGCTGCGACAATCTTAGGTTCGGCAAACTCTGGTAGCTCCTCCTTGAGGAGCTGGCAGGGGGACGCCGCCTCATCAACATCGACAACATCGCCCTCCTCCGACCAGTTCACGTCGCAGTCAATCTCCAGAAACTGGCTGCTCAGTGTCGTCTGCTTCAGCTCCACCAGCTTCCAGAAGTTGTGGAAACTCTCAAGCTGCCCGCAGCACTCGGGGCAGATGCAGGTGGAGATGGCATCGTCGCGTGAGAGCTGCAAATTTTGAAAATTACGTACTGCTGTGCTGCTGGCTGGAGTTAGTTACTTACGCAGAGGTACAAGTGGATCGAGATCAATTTGACCAAATAGCTTTCCGGCACTGGTTTGCTGTTGGATGCTGCTGCTGCTGCGGCTGGCGCCTCACTGTCGCTATCTTGAGTGGCGTCGGGGGGTACGTTGCCGCCGAACAGTAGGACGGCATCCTGCTCGTCCAGCGCGTTCAGGCACAGGCGACAAATCATTTTGCTGAATAATTTTATATTTTTACTGCAGCATTGAGAAGTAGTTTGTATGTTCCACAGCACGGTCACACTTACACTTAGCGATGACCAATATTGGAGAAGGGTCTCACTACCTAGCTATCGATTCATCGATATGCACGTACGCGTTAGCGCATTTTTAGTTAAATGTACACTACGCCATTTTCGAATCATTACCCGCGAATGGAATTTTTATTTGACACGTTTCTCATAGCAATCCCACTCACAGCCATGAGAACAATTGAAGAAAAACCTCAGCATAGTTACATTAAGAAAATCACACTAAAGTATCGATATCGACGGTCGATTTCTCAATATGATAGTTCCGTAGTTTTCGAATCATAACCGCGAATGGAATTTTTATTTGACACGTTTCTCATAGCAATCCCCACTCACAGCCATGAGAACAATTGAAGAAAAACCTCAGCATAGTTCCATTAAGAATATCGCACTAAAGTATCGATATCGATGGTCAATTTCTCAATATGATAGTTCCGTACTTCGTTGGCCAAATACGCAATTCGTGGTCTTAAAACATTCCAGAACAGCAGGAGGAACATTCCAAGCCGAATCGAAAAGAAACCATGAACGGCCTACCGCAGAGCAAACACTACAATCTGACGCACTACCAGCAGAGATACAACTGGGACTGCGGCCTCTCCTGCATCATTATGATACTCTCCACCCAGCAGCGGAACGAGATGCTGACCAATTTCGAGAACATCTGCAGGGAGGAGGGCTTCGGGTCGAGCACATGGACCATTGATTTGTGCTACCTGCTGCTGCGCTACCAAGTGCGTCACGAGTACTACACACAGACCTTGGGCATCGATCCAAATTACAGCCAGCACACGTACTACTCGAAAATCATTGACAAGGACGAGAAGCGCGTGACGCGCAAGTTCAAGGATGCCAAGGCCCATGGGTTGCGCGTGGAGCAGCGCACCGTTGACATGGAGGTGATACTCAGACATCTGGCACGCCACGGCCCAGTCATCCTGCTGACCAATGCCTCGGTGCTCACCTGCGAGATATGCAAGCGGAATGTCCTGGAGAAGTTCGGGTAAGTGAGGTCAACCCCTGCGCAATTGCTCACGCTGCCCCTGCTCATGTCCGCTAAGCTGTTTCCATATTCCTTGCATTGCCCAAAATACACGCCTGCCCGCGGCCACCAACAAAAGGTATGCCGGTCACTATGTGGTGCTCTGCGGCTATGACATGGCCACCGAGAAGGTCTTCTACCACAACCCAGAGGTGCACGATGGCCGTAAGTATTTGTTAGATTCGTACAAAATCCAAAACTAATCTTTTTGCATGCAGATATATGCCGCTGCCTGACCGATTCCATGGACACGGCACGTCGCGCCTATGGCACGGACGAGGACATCATCTTGATATTTGAGCAGAAGGCCAGCAAGGAATAGAGGAATAGAGTGGAGCCTCTGCTGCTCATCGTAATCGTAGTACCTGCCCAGCAGTTGCCGTGCTTGAATGAAGGATGGATCTGCGCTTTGTGATATTATTGGATAGGATAGGACACAACTGAACGAATAATTCGCTTCAATTCGATTGGATTTGGATTGGATATGAAGTATGGATATGGACTATGGTTTGGCTAGGCTTGGCTGCTACGTTGTCGAAGCGAGTCATTTTGGTTTGGCACAACATTGGACTTTATTTGAGTTTAGTTTATATCATTGATACGCGCGCGGCTTCTGACGCAGTTGGTCCCCATACAAAAAACAAAAAAAATACAAATAACAACAACAATTATTACAAACGCAATTACGCAAACAGGACCAGCCGGACAGGCTGCTGTCCTGTCCACATTCCATTATGATTATCAATACCTGTGTGTACGTATAAATACTATGTTGGGTGTCTCTGTAGAAAATACAAAAGATTATTGTTGAATGCGACCATCCTCCTTACTGCGGCTCTACGTCAACGTCTGACTCGTCGGGGCTGACTTTTTTGGTCAGCAGCTGGAGCTTAATGTGTGGCGCTTCTACGGCCAGGACCACCTGACCGCCTGCGTCCGTGTACTTGGAGTACAGCTGTTCGGCGAAGAGCTCGAATCCGTGGGAGCGGAGGATCTTTTGCGAGAAGATACCCGTGGCATCGGCCTTGAGCAAACGGAAGCCGCGCTTGCCTGCCAGCGACTCGGCGTGCTTAACCAGCTCCTTGGCAATGCCCTGGCCGCGGTAGTTCGCGTCCACCGAAAGGATGCGCACATCAAAGATGCGGTCCACCTTGAAGCGGCCGAACAGATCCACCTTCAGGTTGTGATTGTACAGTAGCTCGAAGATCTTCTTGAAGTTGATGTCGCTGCTCGCCTGAAGTTTCTGCAGGGCCAGCACTGTGTCGCCCGGCCGCAGGATGCCGTTCAGTATCACTCCAGCAATCTTGCAGCCCGTCTGTCCTGGCCCTTCGCTGCGAGCCACGGCCATTAGGCTGAGCTGATCTTTCAGCGTCTCCAGGCTGTGGTGCTCCAGCTCGCTGTTACCGAACCCCTTCTGGCACAGCCCAGCGGCTTTGTTCAATGGTTCGTCCGCAAAGAAGTTCCTCCTCAGATGGTCGATCACCTCCTCATAATGCTCTGGTCCAATCAGTTTGTACTCCATAATGGCACAGCTATTGCAAGTTGGTTGGTATGGGTGCCTGGGGGATGGAATGTAACTTGAATTTAATTAAAATTCTCTTATACACGCATACATATCTGTTGTATATATGCACACCATGGATTCTTCTCCTTTTTGCGTATAACGCAATTAGCTGTTGCTCTCACCCCATCCCTTTCTCACACACATACAGAAAGTGCACTCACTGGCAGGCAAGGTGCATGCAAATATATGTAGTTAAATAAGGTGAGATATCACACAGTTGAGCAGAAATCGGATAGGATATTTCTGGCAATGCTTCACCCTATTTGCTTACACCTTGCAGGCAGTGGGCAGCAGTGGAAGTGTGAGAGAGAGCGCCCTTACCGATTTGATGCCTTTATTGACACACCTTTGGCTTTGACAGCTTCAATCTTTACTTTTCTTTTCTCTCTGCTCTCACAACTTTTCAGTTTCAATTAAAAGAAACTCGACCCAAGGAGCGCACTTAATTTAAATTTAATAATTTGCACTGACTTTCAGATACTTTCACTTGCTTCCGAGCTTGGGGAAAAAATGTGTAACCTACTTGCGGGCGCTGTCAAATGAGAACTGCGACGACTGGAGCCTGGAGCGTGGAGCCACAGCAGCAGCAGCATCCCGGCGCTGTGGTGCGTGCTCGGGTATCCCTCTCCTCACAAAGCCGAAGCATGGATAAAAAATGTCGACTGAGACAGTGCCAGAAGCAGAGGCGTGTCGCCTCAGGGTCACAGGGATCCAGCAGTGTAAAGCATATTCTGGCTCCCCTTTTCAAGGCACGTCCATGATTACGCACACACGCAACTGCCTTTGTGTTTGATTGTGTGCGAATGAGTGAGCGATTGCTGGCCGTGACTTACGGCCAAATGCCAATACAATTGCCGGAACGAACAGTAAAATCGAGAGCTGCTCCCCTCCACATCACTCTCACTCACTCACCCTCCCTCAAACACTCTCACTCCGTCGCGAATTTGACTGTGTTGTTGAACGCAGCAACTAACTGTTGATTCCTCCCCTTCCTTTGTGCGTGACTTTAAGTGGAAGAAGGAGCGAGAGTGGATGAGGGAGAGAGTGAGTGAGTGCACGAGGCTGGCGCTGAGAGAGTGAACTGAACGTCACCCACAAACTCGCACAATGTAAATACTCACAGTATGTCCGAAAATTACTCAGAACAGTGGTAAAGAAAATATATATATTTTTGGAATAAATTAATATTGATATTCTTATATTAAATCGGGGGGGCCGATTACTTAATTAAGAAGTTTTAGAACATATTTAAAAATTGTTTAATTACATTCCCAAAATAACTTAAAGGTGACCTGCATATAATCCTCGTATGTTGGTAAAGCAATTTCAAAAGGTTTGATGTATAATAAGAAAATAATGATTGTGCATTCATGTTTAAGTCGCTTGGTATTGTAAAACGGTAGCATACTTTCTCGACACACTATTTTCTGCAGTATTTGCAGGCACACGAACATACATACATATTTAAGGAAGCTTGGCTTTGCCATAATTCTGTCAACGGCAACGACAACGGCAAGGACGTGCCACAATCAAAGAGGGGCAGAGGAAGGATGTCAGAAAAATTGCGTTAATAGATAGACGTATGTAATATGTATGTATGTATGTATGTATGTAAATATGTATGCATACACGAATACACAGAATTTTTAATGCACACTTAAAGATGGCCAGGCCTCCCCAAGGTTATTTACCAAGTAAGTGCGTTTGTCAGCATTTCGTTGAAGTGGTAGAGACTTTAAATGATTTAACCATATATGGATATACGGTACTTCTCTGTGGAATTATCAGCCGGTCCTGAGCTGCTTTACTTTAAATTCTTTTAAGCCTCTATTTCTCAATACGAGGAAAGAGTTTAAAAAACAATAAAGAGTAAATGGAGTAACTATCAAGCGTTCGCTCTCCTTTATGTGGCAGCGCACTCTCTCCGAAGCGTGGAACAAGAGAAGCAGCAAGGAATAATCGCCGATGTTGTAGATTTACGAACAAACAAAAGGTGCTATGGCGGTGTATGTGTGTGTGTCTGTGCGGGATTGAAAAGAAAACATTGCGAATGAAGCCGCACTCAAACTGCGAAAAGAACCGTTGAAGAGGGACTTGTGGAGTAGCGACTTGTGGAGCGGAATGCGGGAAGGAAACAGAAAGAGTACAAATAGTACCTCCCAACCACATACTCCTATGTACATACATTTGTATGTCCATATTTGCAGTTCGTTTTACAAATCCAATCCATACAGTCTACCAAATGACAAGCTCAAGCCCCTCTCCAAGTACAAGTACACATATGAATGCTCAATATTTTAATTAAAATTTGGCCGTCACTGGACTGTGGCCAAATGGGGCGTACGGGCACGTGTCCATTGACACATATCGAGTCATCACAGAGCCGCCCCAACCCAATAATAATGGAGGCACATGACGGCAGAAGACGCATATTCAAATTGCGTGACGCTGCTGTGGATCCCATGCCAAAAAAACCGAAGCCATACCCAAACCAGAACCAAAACCAGAGCCATGGCCATTGTTGGGTCAAACGCACAAAGGTATTTCAATGTCAGTTCCGTCGGTTTGTCGTCTGTGCTTGTTTCTGCGGCTGGCATTCTTTTGTGTTGTGCGTGTGTGCCCGTGGCTCCGGAATAGGCGTTGGTTGGGGCGGACCCAAAAATATTGTTGTGCGTTATTGCCGGCAATCATATTCAATTTAAATCAATCTTCGCGGCTAACGGTAGCTGCTGCACGGAACTGGCATCACTTCACGTCGTGAACTCTACAAACTGTACGGCACAAATCGATCAAGTTGACAGCCATCAAAAGCTATCGATTGATGGCTCTCGCCATCCATCCTCCCAATAGTAAATTTCCTACCGGAGAGTGTTTCATCGAAATCCTGCTGTAGCGATTCCATTCATTCACATCGATAACTGTTTCAATATTCGATCTCTTAGCGAACAAACTTTCTTAAGGTAGTTCGTTTCAAATGCATTTAATATAGGATCTATCAATGACCTTGTCTATGAAAGCACTCTCTTTCTCTCGCTCAGCGTGGACAGCTGTTGTGGAACAGCTGAGACATCGCGTCGCTTGCTCTCCGTCCGGACCGAACCTGGTGTCGCTTTAGTGTAGCTCATTCGTCGGCCCATTCTCTAGACGTGCACTCGTTCCGTGTTGGCTGTCCCGCCCGTTTATTTTCGTATTGTCGCATATATTTTTTTTGTTTTGTGAATATTTATAGTTTATAGTTGGCGTTGTGCGTGTGACTTCTGTGTTTTGTGTTTTGATTCTCCCTACGACTATAAGGCCGAAAAAGAAGCATGGCATCCAGAGATCGCTTGCCCGTATTCCCCTCCCGCGGGTGAATATCCAACTGTCCATCAGGTGTCCTCGGAAATTTAAGTACTTATCCACCCACAGGGCCCAAACGCTGATGAAATCTCGTCTGGCTGGCGCCACGAAGGGACACGGACTGCTCAAGAAGAAGGCCGATGCGCTGCAGATGCGATTTCGCCTCATTCTCGGCAAGATCATTGAGGTATGTGGTCTCTATGGTTTAGCCAATCAAATCACCAATTTCATATGAACGTTTCTTATTCACAGACCAAGACCCTGATGGGACAAATGATGAAGGAGGCCGCATTCTCTTTGGCGGAGGCCAAATTCACAACCGGCGACATCAACCAAATTGTGCTCCAGAACGTGACCAAGGCCCAAATCAAGATACGCACCAAGAAGGACAATGTAGCCGGTGTCACGCTGCCGGTGTTCGAGCCATACATTGATGGAGTCGATACCTACGAGCTGGCCGGTCTGGCTCGTGGTGGCCAGCAGCTGACGAAGCTGAAGAAGAACTACCAAAGCGCCGTGCGCCTCCTGGTCGAGCTGGCCTCGCTACAGACCTCGTTTGTGACCCTGGACGATGTCATCAAGGTAACCAATCGTCGTGTCAATGCCATCGAACATGGTGAGTCGTCAGTCCCACCTACGTATGTACATCCTGCAATCATCTTATACTTTTCTTTTGCAGTGATCATACCGCGCATTAATCGCACCATTGAGTACATAATCAGTGAACTGGATGAGCTGGAGCGTGAGGAATTCTATCGCTTGAAGAAGATCCAGGACAAGAAGCGAGAGGCCCTCAAGACAGCCGACAAGCGGCGTGAGGAGCTGCGTCGCCTGGGCGATCTCGCCGCCAACGAGGAGGTCCAGAACATCCTCGACGAAGATGGCGATGACGATCTGTTGTTCTAGCCTCACACACACCACCTCCACACACTCTGCTACCTCACCCGATAAACCAACCCTACCACTACCAATCTGATTCTTGTTCCTGTTCTCTCTTCCTGTTGCATATTGTTCATTGGGATATCCACATAAATGTCTCCCGTTTATCGTTCTTGTTGGAAATATACTCGTATTGTTGTATATTGTTTGTATACTGTTTGCACATACAAATTTACATACATTAGTGATGCAAAGCCATAAATGTCGCCTGTGTCTCAATGTCTCAATTGTCAATTGTTTTCTCTGTTGTTTCTGTGCGTACCCAAACCCAAGGGCTATCATTTCATTTTATTTACCAACCCATCAATAGAAGAGTTTGTCAGTATGTGTAGTTGAATTAAGTTCCATTTAAATATGAAATATTTTACATTTATCGTCAAGTGATTCCCATGGTTCATATTGTTGTCTGATGTGGAAGACGATCGTTACAGAATGACCTGACACTCTCATATAAGAATTAAGTATCAAAGTTCTATCTGGAATGCTTTCTATATTTTTAGCTTAAGTATTACTGATCCAAATTCTTTTAAGAAGCATTTCTTGGCTTAGGAGCCTAGCTATCAAATCTATTGGGATAAATAATTTATATTTAAGAATTTATGCATCCCATTCGTAAGGTACTAAAATATCTTACCTTTAAGTACAAAATATCCTAAGAATTTGATCATCTAAGCTCTTGTAAGGGCATCTCCTTCTTCGGTGTGTCAATGCAGTCGACATCTGTCATATGCATGGATAATCATATAACATTCGCACATTTTTATTATCTATTGTACATAGTATGATGGCCCATAAAAATGTGTGATTAAGCTGGTTATGGTTCTCAAATTGCCAATTTTCCAATGCCATTTTGCGGATTCACGGCCGGCACGTGCCGCGTAAAGCCAATTGTGTCACTGGGCTTGGGGATCAGTTTTCGACCACAGCTTTCGCACAGAATTCAGAGATCAGATAGCAGAGAATTCAATTTAGCGAACCCAAAACCAAATAAACAAAGAGAAGGAAGACTCAATTGATTCTGTTGGTTGCTTAGGAGTATTATGTATACATTCAAAATCACGTTTATTCATAGTTTTATATTCCATTTAGACTTATAAACCTAATAGTATGCCATTGACCACTGGGTGATCATTTTTGTTTGTAGTTTAAATTCGGCTTGAATTCATAGTTTATTTTGTGTTTCGTTTTATTTAGACAAAAGCAAAAAGAAAGTCAAGACCAGAAAAGCAGCAGATTTCACATATTTTCGTATTCCATTGAAATGCAGGAGAAAAAGCTTAAAGTTAATTGAATATTCAGTATTCACGTGCACTGGATATCCACTGATCCCCGTCTGATGAGTGTTATGGATAGTGTGCAGTGTTGAATAGTGTTTTAAAGTGTTTCCTCTACCGTAGCCTTGTGCCCAATTTCATTTCCGCGTGCTTTGTACTTTCATGTTGCATGTAAAATTCAAAATACGATCGTTAACTCCTGCCCCTAAAACACTATCCCTTTCTATATTTCTCTCTCTCTATCCACCGTTTAATAGCACTGAATGCTTCTCAGGTTTTTGAAGGCTTGCATTTTCTTTTTTTTTATGTAGCTCAGTGTAAATATTATGTAAATATGCTTTTTCTGCTCTATATACTAATTATTTATATGTAGATTTTCCAATTTACACACACAATTCCATATCTGTATGTTGGTTATTCCATATGTTTATATTTGCGTTAAAAAAAAACATTGTGATCCATCGGTTTCGGCTTATGTATGGGGTAAAGATACAAAAATATCTGCATATCTGTATATACTATACATAGACACATTCAGTATAGATTTTGTATATATCTTGTAAAGGTATAGGTATATATCGTCAGATATTCATGTGTGTTTGTGTTTCCCTATGCCGTTGCATACAAAAAAAGGTTTACTTCGCACTTCAGTGCAAAGTACAGTTGCTCTCGAAAACAGCAGAGTGCCAAAACGAAACGGTCACTCTGTTCGAGAGATTTTTTTACAGATTTGCATACAAAAAAGTTTTAGTTAGCTTTGGATAATATTAAGAACTGTTGCTCTTTTCTCTCTATGAAACAGTTCTCTCTCCAATCCAATTTCGCGTACAGTGGCGCTCGCTTAAACGCTATGCTGATACGACTCTGTGTGTGTTCCGTTTGCCTACCGCAAACCATTAAAAAATACAATTGTTCGCCTTAGCGCTACGCTGGTACAGTTATGTGTGCCTATGCCTTTTGCATACGCAAAACTTTTAAAAGTACATTTTCTCACTTCAACGCTGAACTGGGCTAATGGGACAGCTGCGTGTGCCAAAGTAAAGCGGTTACTCCGTCTGCTCCATCTGAGAGATATGTAGATTCAGGCTGTGTTTGCATGCAGATGCCTTGGAGTTCTCTTTGTCCTTGCCTCCGAAATTATTGATAGTTTGATAGTTGCTTCTGGTGTTCCGGGTGCGGTGTGCACTTGAGCTGCCACTGGTGATGCGGTTGATGTATGGGTATAGATTGCGGTTATTGTGAATGCGTTTGGAGCTGTCTCTGTGAACGCTTCTTCGACTGCTGGTGCGGCGTTTACTGTGGCGATTGCGAGGGCCATCGTCGTTGCCGGCAGCTGCGACTTCATAAATATTTTCTGTGCTACATGGGGAGCGTTGAACATCACACGTTTGTCCTGCAGTCGGGAAAAGGACACAAAAGCAGAAGGAAAAGAGGAGACAGATAAGTTTAGTTGAAGCCTCTCGACTATGAGTCCTTTAGTGAATATCTTTTCTTTGCAAAGTGGAGCAAAATAGAGTCAAACAAATGAGCGTGATCGATCGTAAACGATAGACAAAGCATACGCGCGACAGGCAGTGTGACCGGTTTGTTGCATTTCAAACTAAAGTTTCCAGCACCACATGTTTGCCAAAACCATTTTCCACCACAGCTTCAATGGGTTTTGTGTGGTTTGCTGTTCATCAAACGTATATCCACGCCAAAAGGAAATCGCAAAGATTCAAGCAATCAAAGATAACAAGAAGGGACGTGTGAGACGCTTCTTACGCGTCACAACTTTTATACCCGGCACTCAGTACTACTACTTAGCGGTGTTTTGTCAAATTTAACATTGGCCATTCCCTACGGAATGTTTTTAGTTTTCTTTTATCTTCAAAATTGTAGATTTGGGAGGTGTTCGTCCTTTTTCGGGGGCGGAAGGGGGCTAGGCTCATTTTTGAAATACACTAGTAACAGTGTGAGCATACAAAAATCTGGATGGAAAATTTGGTGGCTCTAGCTTCTATGGTCTCTGAGATCCAGGCGCTCAACAAGAAGGACGGACAGACGGACGGACAGACAGACATGGCTCAATCGACTCGGCTATTGATGCTGATCAAGAATATATACTTTATGGGGTCGGAAAAGTGTCCTTCTGTGTGTTACATACTTTGTGCACAAATACAATATTTCCTATTTACTCTTCGAGTACCGGGTATAAAAACAGAAAAACAAACAATTAAATTGGAATATTTTATTCAATAATAAGTCTCCTGTGGACTTATTAACAACCAAATAAAAATAAAATAAAACACACCAAGGGACGAAAAGAAAACAATTTAATGCTCAATAAAATTAATACAAATAATTATGTTCAGAATATCAAACTGATTTTTCGCTAATTTATGATTCAATAAGCGCGTACATCAAATGTACATCAACATAAAAGCAACTAAAATATAATAAAATACATTTAAATTTTTATAAAAAATAAAACCTATTAAAGCAATTGGAAATTGGGGAAATTGCTTTCAACATTTGAACTTGGCTTTAGTAATTTGTTCCCCCTCTGACCTTTGGTCACACTGCATTGTCACGGTACAGTTGTGTTTTGTAGCAGTACTCGAATGCAATAAGTTATTATAAAATATTTTATATATTAAAATATATGTTAGATATTAGAGAAACATGCCGCTCAAGTTTTTGCTGTAGAGTTCACCAAGCGTTAACCGTGTGTGTGGTGCGACTGTGCCCAAAAAAAGCAGAGTGTAAATCTAATAGAGATTCAGTTTCATCAGATATTTGTAGATATAAGTATACATTACTTTTGGCGATGAGGTTCGGTGCTGGTGAAGGAAGGTTCAGTCCGCGGTTGCCACATCTATTTACCCCATTAAATATTCAGAAATCATGACTTCGAGGACAATTGGGGAGGCTGAAGTGCCATGACTGCCCAGGCAGAATCGCAGACAGACCGACCGAAGGGCTCTAAATTCAAGTTCTTACTTGATGGATCCGATTCTTAAATCTTTGGGTGGTACATCTATGGCAACCGTGGGTCAATCCTATGAATGTCCAATAATTTGTATGAATTTACATCTGCAGGGTACACTATTCTCTAAATTATTTCAAAAGTTAGCAAATGGAAGGGCAAGGATTGAAGATGAGTTTTGGATTTTTATTTGGAATAGGGGGGAGATGGAACTTTGGCATTGAGGGTTTTGGAAAAGGGATTTGCCGCTACATTTGTGAGGAGTGAATGAGAGTGGCTCTAAGAGTGTCTAGGTGACTAATAGGCTAAGTGGCTATGATCTACGGCAACGGTCTACTTTTAGTTTAGTTGGCCTACTGCTCTGACAACTCAAATACAACTGACTCGGGTGGTACGGATGACGTTGACGGTACTCTAAGTACCTTTTGACCCCTGAAGCAGAGGCCGGCCATCATCCACTTGGTGCCAGCGTGTATGCGTGTCTCTCGCTTCCTGCCCACAGCAGCCGCACCGGCAGAGCCACGCACCACCACGACTTCACTCTCTACTCCGGCTCCAGCTGCAATTCCTATACGATCTTCCTCATCAGTTCGTTCCCCCCGATGGCGACGTGGACTCTCTTGACCGTTGTTGTTGTTGTTGTTGTTGTTGTTGTGGTTCCGCTGCACGAGACGCTGTCGCTGGTTGGGTTCGTGGATCATGACAATGCTGGCGTTAGTGTTCTGCCGCCTGTTGACCGGCGACGTTCTAAACGAAGAATTAACCAAATGATTCATCAGGGGGCAATGGCCACAGTGAATGGCTTACCGTGTACCAGTGGCCGTCTGGTTGTCGGCCACCGCCTGCTGGCCGACGGCATCCGTATCGGGGGCGGTGTTGTAGGCGCCCGAGTACAGGGAGGCCCGCTTGGGCGCCCATTCGGGATGGCCGCGCAACGATAGCTGATTCGATAAGCTCTTGAGCAAGCATGCGCGCACCTATCGATGGAAATCGACATTTAATTGATACAAAAAATCGATGGATAGCCAGGACTCACCTCGCCATTGAGGAAACAGTAGATGAGAGCAATAAAGAAGCCTTGAAACGAGGTGAGAAAATGCGTGCCATACGACCAAACGGCAAAGTTGGTGGCCGACTTGAGGACTGGCCACTGGTGCAGCAGATTGGTGATGCCCAGCAGGGGCAGCAACACGATGGCAGCCCTCACGGCCTTGCGAGTCTGTTCGATGTCGCTGGCCTGCGATTGGCGCAGTTTCATCACCAGCACCCGAATGATGTTCACCAGGAAACAAAAGTTCAGCTGCAATGGAGTAAAGCAAGGAAAAGTCAGTCAGTCAGTGGAGGGTAGGGATCAAAACTCACGACGACTCACCAAAATGACAGCTAGTCTGGGTCCCTCGAGTATCCAGTAGTAGGGCGTCAGATTATAGTTCCAGAGACACTCACCCATCGAGGTGTCCATGTACATTACGGTGCAGCGTGCCCAGACGGTGGTCATCAGGATGGGCACACACCAGCCCAGACGCGAGAAGAACTTGAGCGGAAACTGGCCCTGAAACACAGCCACCGTCACCATATTGTGCAGGTACAGTCCCTCGATGAACATCCACATGAACATTGCCGTTCGGGCGTATTCCAGCAGGACATAGGAGGCCTCGCACAGATATGGCTATGGATAAATATGGAAATATTTACGATTTTCTAAGTCGCATCGACTATGAGTCGAGTACTCACCGTATTCTCGATCGCCGATAGACTGCTGGTACTGCTAGAGTTTGAGGAGCTGCCACTGGATTTGCTGCCGCGCTGAAATTGATCCAGATAGATCGTCAGTCGGATGAGCACCTGTAGAACCATTGCCACGAATAGATTCTTGTGTATCCTCGTACGGTTATTGCGCAGCGAACGAAAGCTACAGAAGATCACCAGAGAGACGAGCAGAGCAATCAGTGACAAGCACAGGCCCACGATCTCCAGTGTTCGTGTATGCCTGGCAATTTCAATATAGAGCTAAAAATGTTACAAAAATATAGGGATTATGAGTTCAAGATTAAGTGTGTGTGTGGGATCTCGCTTACATCAATATCCTTGCTACCCATCTGCTGCATCAGGCGAATCACCTCAGGCCTGTAGCAGGGCCCATAGTCGGTCCAACCAGCGGCAATCGCTTCCGCTGTCATATTTGTAGTATCTGGCCGTGTGCCCCAGCTGCCATCCAGCTCACATTTGCGTATAGCAAATTCTGTTTACCAAACATCAAATCAAAGGTGAAGAGATTAAAACACCAGGATTAGTAACAGTTTAGGCCATAAAGAAGGTACTTTGATTTCGCTCATTCGGGGCGGCTAACAGGCTTACAGCCTAACAGCGCTGTTATCACCCCATGTGAACTAACAGCCTATAACTGCTGTTAAACAGACCACTGTTAGCGATCTCCTTTTACAGTCGCTCACTAAGGGCAGCAGCTCTAACAGACCATCAGCGCTGTTATCACCCCAAGTGAACTAACAGCCTATAACTGCTGTTAAACAGACCACTGTTAGCGATCTNAGTCGGTCCAACCAGCGGCAATCGCTTCCGCTGTCATATTTGTAGTATCTGGCCGTGTGCCCCAGCTGCCATCCAGCTCACATTTGCGTATAGCAAATTCTGTTTACCAAACATCAAATCAAAGGTGAAGAGATTAAAACACCAGGATTAGTAACAGTTTAGGCCATAAAGAAGGTACTTTGATTTCGCTCATTCGGGGGCGGCTAACAGGCTTACAGCCTAACAACGCTGTTATCACCCCAAGTGAACTAACAGCCTATAACTGCTGTTAAACAGACCACTGTTAGCGATCTCCTTTTACAGTCGCTCACTAAGGGCAGCAGCTCTAACAGACCATCAGCGCTGTTATCACCCCAAGTGAACTAACAGCCTATAACTGCTGTTTTCATCAAGAAACTTCAATTTGTGGAGCTGCCCTATAATTAAGTAATCGATTTGTGGCTCGCTTTCCTTGCACTACGCCCACCTGACCAGTCCAGCACAGCTCAGCTCTCCACGTTCCAGTTTCGGTATGACCTCCAACTGCAGTCCTCCCCGATGTCCTGACGGGGGTGTGGCTGGTATGGCTTGGGCTGTCTGCTAAACGGTTAAACGAATGCGTGACGCCGTGAGGCATGCAATGAATACGAAATCAAGTAATTGTTTGCCAAAGTGCCGACTAGTGATCCATATAATTTAGGCCACAATGTTTAATTTGAAAGGGAAATATTCCCATGCTCGATCATACGCGTATTTATGGGTCACTTCTTAATCAATACTTGAGGTGAAAAGGCAACAGGACTTCCCCTGATAATAGCTTTCTTACTTTCTATAGCTCTAGTTTCTAGATAGTTGAAAAACTTACTTCGCGGATCGACACCATGAAAGCCCGCCGGGCAATGCATTCGTGCCATGACTCCCGCAGGTGTTGGGGGCCAACAGGTCAGCGTGTCCCAAGTAAAGTTGCAGTAGATGCCTGAAAATATTTCATAGAACATTGCCATGAACGTAGATAACCTCACAAGTATAACATCCCTTCCCACAAAATTAATGGCCAGAGTAATTTCAATGATTCAGCAGTTGCTTTAATCGGTCAAACAATCATCTACTCCTCCCCCAGCATTAGGATGTCCAGAAGCTCCTTCAACTTGTCGGCCTTTAGCTTGTAGTCCAAGTGGCTAAATTCGAAATCATTTAGCGATAGTTGTAAACCTTTGCCCGGAGTACACATACGCCGATTTATGCCTGGAACTCTCTCTTTGCTGCCTATCGTCAGCTCCCGATAGCTACTACCAGTGATCGTCATAATTTGTTTCTTCTTTGGCTGCAGATTTATTTTATTGATTTCTCTAGCTTAGCCCTAGATATGTGATAGGTCTTCTGTGTACTGACCTGTTTCTGGTTGCGTGTAGTTGGCAAAAATCGCCGAACAGTTTTCATAGTTGGTGGCTGCCGCAGCGGCCAACGTTAGATTCCCGTGCATTGTCGTGGCATTGGCAAAGCTGGTGTCCACCTCTGGCAGCCCCTCGGCCAGCACCTCCGACGCTGATGTGGTCACCTCCAGGGCAATGCGGGCCACCTGTGTGACCCGATCGATGAGATAGGAAGGTGCCAGCTCCGCTGCAGCTGCCGCTGTAGTTGTGGTGGGCGATTCGGTTGTCATGATTGCAGGAGAGGCTGTGGATGTGGATGTGGATGTGGTGGGCTCTGGCAAAGAGTTGGATGATGCAGCAGCAGCCGCAGCTGCGGATGATAATGACGCGCCGGTGAGGCGCATCAAGCGGGCGAAGAAGTGAGTGCCAACACCGCCGCCGGTGTCATCGGTACTTGGCTGGTCTGTCATATCGCCACTAACAACATGTCTGCCTCTGTGAAATAAAACAAAATGATGTCGAGAAAATGCTTTAAACTCCAAGTACATCCACATCCACATCCAAATGGACAGGTGAAATTTGATCTGTGTCCTTAAATGACACTAAAACCTGGTCGATATTTTGCTTGAAAATTGCAATTAATTTTGACTTGGAGACGTACCGATTACCTCTATAAATAAAACAGAAAGAGAAGCGAATGCAGCTTTGTTCTCATTTGTGTTGCGTGTCAGTTTACCCATAGATGGAATGATGAAGAAATTGCATTTTCAGCCACACCCCCACACCGCACAGTAGAGACTTAATTGAATGCTTATCAAACAATGAAGACGAACCAGGAGTCATGAGTCGAATCAGGAATCAGGAATCAGGGGGAGACAACCATCACTGGCTTTTGTTCAAGTCCAGCCCTCGTCCGTGTCCAGGCTCGAGCTCGTGCCATCGCCTGTTCTGTGATGATTGCCTACTAATAAATACTTCTCATGGCTCATGGCTCGTCCTCGTATTCGTACTAGGATCATAACGCATCGATTCAGTTTTTGTTTTTGTTTCAATTTCTGCAACTCGTGTATTTATAGCACAGGGTCAAAACATGCTCCTGCGTCGCATTGGAAGGAAGCGAGCTTGTCGGGACTTTGATTGGAAAATGGCCAGGAGGCAAAACCCATCGGTCTGGGATTACATTTCACTTGTGAGTTGCTGTTCTGCATAATTGAAAGGAATCTCAGCTATCTAGTCTCTAGACTCTTTCCTCGCAGTAGCAGTGGGAATGCATTAATATTTATCTATTTTTTTCCTCTACTTTTTGAATGTCAGCGAATATGAGAAAAAGCGCCATAAATGGTGTTAGCCAACACTCAAAGGACCTTCACTTACCCACACTAAAAACTTTACGATGTTACCCCACACTCCCAGCGGTGACATTGCGTATTACGTACCAAGTACAGCTTGTCATTGTTTAAAATTGCTGTCGCCTCAGAGCTTGAAAAAAATTAAAACAAGATTTTCCTAAGATTTGAGTTATCTTCTGGCCAATCCTAGAGCTAAAGCCAACATCGGAGAACAACAGGGAGCGCAAGAATTCAACTGAACCACATAAATTTATAAATATTTGAAGCTAAACGAGAAGTAAGTTTTTGCCCGAAATATCTGGAATACCATACCAGGCCTGCCTCGTGCCACTGTCAGCATACAGGAACACCCTGTGGGCTTTTGCTAAGCTCTCCCGAAATGCCTTTGAGTGCATTTGATATATTTTCATAAGAATTTCAATTGTCAAGCGCACACAAGTGCAGGTACTCGTAGCCGTGTCAGTGCCAGTTCCTCTTGCCTGTAGCTCTTGCTGTTTCCATGACGGAGAGGCGAAATCCCCCATGCACGGATGTGGCATAAGGCTGCAGGGGGGACTGCATTAAATTCGGTACTTCACCAATACCCCATGGACACATTGACACATCGTCTAATGTGGAAGCGTTTTGCAATTAAGCTTAATAGGCGCAAAAACCACTCCATCGAACTTGTGCTCAAAAGCCAAATCAACCTCACCGCCCAAAGTCCCATGTTGCACGTTCAAGCGTCTCGCCGCACCCAGACGAGTCGTCCCTGATTTGGGTCACTGGGCAGCCTACCGTACTAGGTGGCATGGGAAAGGAGGGGCTGCCCAGGAAACTCCATTAAATATTCGAATAACTCAAAGCAGCAACAGATGAAATTTAGAAATAAATCAGAATATGGCTAAGAAATCTTATGGAATCTCTTAGGCATCACTCTCCACTACTCCCACAAAAAATTCCATCAACATTTGACAAAGGCGTTGGGGCGTGGCCTCTTGTACACTTCTTTGACATAATTATAGTGCGCGCAGAGAGCGTGAGAGGTGGAGGGAGAGCAAAAATCAAGGAAAAATAATCTCAAGAGCTCTATTCATAAAAGGCGATGCATAGAACGGGCCAATGCCCCTTGACAAGTGGGTTGGGGTGAGAATGTGGTTGTAGGCTGCCGCTGCCGCAGCCGCTTCTGATTTTATTCTGCGGCATTTGAAAAGTTCGCGATATTTGACAATGATGGGGACACGTGCCACCCTTTTGCTGCAGCTTTTTGGCCGGCAGCAAGCAGTGCAGCAGCTGCCTCATGTGTGTGTGTGCGTCCCCTGACAGTGAAGAACATTAGCATCAGCAGCTGAAGTTTTAGTCATTTTTTTGAAGCTTCAAAGAAGGTCTCTTAGTCTACCATTACTGAGAGGCATTGAAGCAGCTCTTTCTACTGCTTTTGTCTCTCCCTCCCAGTGTGGCTCTTGTCTTTGTCTCTTTCCCAGTGGGTCTTAGCTGTGGACGGTTTCAGCACGAGGTGGAGCATTTCAAACTCTTTGCTGCCTCACAGCGGCCAATAAAAAAACGCCAATCGAAAGATTTTCCAAATGTTTAAGTAATCGTCAGTCATGTAACCGAACAATCAAGAACGCACACAAACACACACTCCCCGGTACTCGAAGAGTAAATAGGAAAAAATTTAACACACCGAAGGAAGCGGTTCCGACCGCACAAAGTATATATATTCTTGATCAGCATCAATATCCGACTAGACTTAGCCATGTCCGTCCGTCTTGTTGAGCGCCTGGTTCTCAGAGACTATAAAAGCTAGAGCCCCCAAATTTTGCATCCAGATTTCTGTATGCTCACACTGTAACAAGTGTTTTTTTTTAATTTCAAAAATTCCGTAGGGAAAGACCATATCTATCTGATCACCGAGTTGGGATCCGATTAGATCATTATTGGAGCCAGAATGAAGAAATTAATGTGCAGTGCCGTGCCTTCGCCTCTGCAGTGCCTCTGCAATGTTGTTGATGTAGATGACAGATGAAGAAAGAATTGAATATTTGACAAAACACCGCTAAGGTGCAGATGTAGTCCTGAGTGCCGGGTATAAAAGTTGTGACGCGTAAGAAACGTCTCACACGTCCCTTCTCGTTGTGGGTGGGAATGTGGGTGGAGTTTTCTCTTTTTTGTCCCCCTCCCCCCCAGGAAATTTGCCGGTTGGCTGCTGCTGAAGCTGCAGCTGCTTATACAATTTTGCATTGAAATTGCCATTGCCACTGTTTTTGCCAGGAGTCTGCCAGGAGCCAACTAGAGTGTAACGAGCATTCGCTTTGGGGGTTTTTATACCCGGTACTCGAAGAGTAAATAGGGTATATTGTATTTGTGGGGAATAACGGTATGTAACGCACAGAAGGAAGCGTTTCCGACCCCATCATGAATGTATATTCTGGATCAGCATCAATAGACGAGTCTATAGAGCCATGATTGTCTGTCCGTCTGTCCGTCTTATTTGTCGGCTAGTTCTCAGAGACCATAATAGCTAGAGCCACCAAATTTTGCATCCAGACTTCTGTATGCTCACACTGTTACAAGTGTATTTAAAAAATGAGCCTCGCCCCCTTCCGTCTCCGCAAAAGAGCGAAAACCTCCCAAATCTACAGTTTTGAAGATAAAAGAATTCCGTAGGGAATGACCATATCTATGAGATCACCAAATTGGGATCCGATTGGATCATTATTATAGCCACAATGAAGAAATTAATTTGCTGTGGCCAAACCCACCCTGTCCCGCAGCTTTTGTTATTATTTTCACATTCTCTCATTCACACTCTGCTTCTGCTTCACTCGGCCCCTGCCTCAGCCGTCGCCCTGCCTCTGCCGAATTTTAACCCACCCCGTCCCGCAGCTTATATATGTTTTTTCTTTGTGTGCGGGCGCTGCCTCTCCCTCTGCCGCGAGTCTGCAGTGTGTGGTTCTAGGGAAGGGGGGCGAGATAACGGAGCGTGTTGGCGTGAGAGGTGTTGTAGATGTAGATGACAAATGAAGAAAAAATTTAAAACTTGACAAAACACCGCTAAGGTGCAGATGTAGTACTGAGTGCCGGGTATAAAAGTTGTGACGCGTAGGAAGCGTCTCACACGTCCCTTCTCGTTTGTTTTCTTTTTGGGGGTTCGTTTCCTTTTTGAATGTCTTGTAATTGAATAAATGAATAGCACTAAGTTGCGCTGCAGAGAGCAGGGAGGGGATGAATGAATGAATGAATAAATCTAAGTATTCAGCAAGTACCAAGTTTATTGTACGCAATTTTCAATGGAGGTCTCTCGTCACACGCCCGACTGAGTGCACTGTTGCTACCATCGTATACCATGGCCATTGAAATTCATTCTGACACGGCCCAACAGATTTTGACAGCTACTCAACACAGCGCCGTTTGTTGTATCCTTGTTCTTATTCTTCTCTCTCCCTGCTCAATACATATTCCATTTAAGCACTGAGAGTGTTCTACTGTCTGCTGTCTGGCTGCTTCTGCTTCTGCTTCTGCTTCCCACTGCCACTGCCTCTCTGTGTCCTGTGTCTGGTGGCTGCTGTAACTGTTGCATTACTGATTACGTTGCTGCTGCTGCTGTTGTGCAATTTGCCGGATTCCCAATGCCCCACATCGCCACAAATCAATGTCGATACATGAACAGACAGACGGACCATAGGAGTCCACAAACTGTGTATGTGTGTGCAGCGGCCTAGAAGTATTTACTGTCAATATTAATGCCATTGGCAGTCTAGAGCCAGTGGCTGTGTGCCAATGCCAGTGACAGTTCTTCCACTCTTCCAGTGTCAATGTCAACGCACAATACCCTTCAATTTCCCCCATTCTGCCACGACCATGGGTTGTTAAGTTTTCCGACCGATCAATGTATTTAAATTATGCATCAATGGATCATCAGGACACTTTGTTGTTTCGAGCTCCAACAGATATGCTTTGAATATATTTTATCGTTTCTGCTCTGTTAAACCTCAAAATCCCATTTGTTATTTGAATACACAAAACTCTGACTTTTCCCCTTGAACTTCTTTCAATCTCTATTTGAACATAGTTTAGTTTTGCATTTTTTTGTTTACCAAAACTGAACATTTGACAATAGGCTCGAAATTTACCCACACTAAAAGCGATTTTTCGATGCTATGGAACACTGATATGGGAGCACACCTAACACACAGCTTCTGCTGTGGGCAGTCCCCTTTCCTGTTTAAGTTTGGGTTGTGCTCTGCCTCAAGGTGCCACATCATTGTCCCACTTTTCCACCCTACTGGAAATTGGCTGCCATCCCATGAGGGAGCTTCCTTACTCGTTAGGGCCTTGGCAACGCGTCACACGGGCACTGCCACATGGACAAAAACGTGGGAGGGGGGCAAGAACGGATCTGCGCCAAGCTGCAGGCTGTGGCGTATTGCACCATGGTGAGCGTGTGTGCGTTTTCCTTATTTTCAAATATAATTGGGTGCAAATGGAAGGCTTGCTTCGGGGAACCCCCCTTCAGGCTGACCTTGCATATCCATTGTCCTTATGGCGCCAGCAGATAAATATGTCGACGGGAAAGTACACTTCCACAATTATTGTTTTGTACCATTTTTGAATTTCAAGATTTAAAAGTGTGTTGCTTAGGGAATGTAAACTCTTTAGCCACCGTCCAGAACCCCTCTTCTCTCGCTCTGGCTTACCGCTCGTCTACACCCCTGTCTGCGGCTGTGGCTGTGCGTGGGTTTTCTGCTACTTTTTGTGCCGATTTCCAGAATAATTTTTGGTAACTCTCGCTTTGGTCAGTCGGCCACAGATTTTCCAATGTTGTATTTGTATGTCTTTTTGGCCATTTATTTGGTTCAGTGATTTGATTCGCGTTTCGAATAACAGGAGAATAACGAAATGAATGCCGCAACAAATGCGTTTATGGTTCGCTCTACAATAATGTATAAGTATCTTCTTATTGTGGGCTGAAACTCAGACCCACAGCACCCACTTCCACTTCCACTTCCACTCCCATTTCATCCTTTTATCTGTCAATGTCCTCACTGTGCCGCAGGTATAGGTATTTATTGCATAATGTCCCATCGTTATGACCCTCACGCACGCAACACATGTGTCAGAAGGTTGTCAGAAGTTTGTTATATAACTCCATGAAGAAGGGGGTAAAGGGTACACCAGAAGTGGCATATTGCAACAATACCCCCCCACCCAGCATCAGAAAGGTTTTGCAACATTTGCCATTTCGGCTACATTTATGGATCTATCATAGATCAGCAAAAGTGGTCCCACTTGTACTTAATTGCTTTTTATTTTAATATTTTTTAGAGAAAAAAAGACGGCGAACAAAAATTATATCATTGAGTCTGATGATGAAGCTTGAGAAATGTCGATGACCGATGACTCCTGCGGAACCCATTAAAATGTGGAGCTCGAAAACAGGGCCAGGAAGAGAAATGCTGCTTCATGCATGGAGCAGGATGAAGCCACGGAGGGCGTTCCACCCAAAGTGCGAGCCATCGACGCTGGACCTCCCGAATTGCAGATTCAGCAGTTGGCGAGGGAGAAAATGTTCCATCGTCAGCAGAAGAAAAAGCGTCAGAGGTTCCAGAGAAAATTGCACACGTTACAAAAAAAAAGTCACTAGCAGTTGCCGAAGCACAAGCAGGAAATTAGGCTTGTTAAACAATTGTTGTTGAATTTCTCTACCACCCGATGCAGTTCTGATTCCAGTTCCGACTCTAGCGACAGTGAGAGCGAACAGAGAGCATTACTACAGAGGGCGTTGCAGATGCGGCCACTGTTGATGCGGCAGCAACAGGAACGTAATCAGCGGAATATGGCACTACTACAGCAGGAGTTGCAGGCTCTTCCAAGTGGCTCCGAGAGTGACTCCGATAGTGACTCCGATAGTGACTCCGAGAGGGAATTCGATACTGACTCCGAGAGTGACTCCGAGAGTGGCTCAGAGAGTGGCTCCAAAAGCAGCGACAGTTGCTCTGACGATAGCAGCGACTTAGCCGGCTACACCTCCCACAGCAACTCTGATGCCAGCTCCTACTCTAACGATAATGGGACCAACTAAACTGCGAGAACTCAGCTCAATTATTATCATTGTTCAACTTAATAAATAAATATATTGGAGCTAAAATATGTTTTTTGGGCAGGAAACCTCTGTAGCATGTCACCTACAACGATAGTTGTTGTAACCACTCGAGCCGGTCGGGGGTGTAACCAATAAGGAGGGGGGTTCCGATAATTGCTTGTTGTTACGTGCTCGCATTGATGCTATTTCTTAATCATTTTTATTTCGCGTGCAGACCTAAGCTTAGACCGTAGGGAAGGGAATGAGGAGGCTAGGGGGGATGACTTAGGAAAAGGCGAAGTAACAGGAATCCACCATGATTGACGACTGCGCTGGTCTTGTTGCGGCAGTCCTTGCCCACACAACCATGATCATCCCATCAATTCCAAGAGATATAAAAGTTTCGGATGATCCCTTATTAGTCATGGTTACTTTGTAATCTCACACAGTGAACGTTGCATGGCTCCTTAATAACAAATCTCTAGCAATTCATTTTCAACAAATTAATGGTTAGGTTTATTATTAACAATGGGAGTTCATGCCTAATATGTGGGTATGTATGTATGTATATAAAGACAAAATTATAAGAAAATTTGTTTACTATTAAAACAAGGGGCTACAAAATATATATGAATAAGTGCATAAGGTGAATAAGGAAATATTAATTATAACAAGTATAATAGTTAGTGTTCATTAATTTCATTCAAAATGTAAATTTTTAATTCAGTTCAATATGTTTTAGATTAATATGTCATTACTTTTAATTCATTCATTTCATTTTCGTTTTTCATTTTTATTCCAGCGGAAATTAGTTTGGCTCTAATTATATGCTCATGAGTGTAAAGCCCCATAGACAAGGCCAAGCTTTGAAGATGCTCCGAAAGCTCGCTGGCTTTACGTTGGCCGAAATCGCAACAACAAGAAAGACCGATCAAATAAATATCTTTCGGAGATGGAAGAGCGAACCTGAAAGCTTTTAAGAGAGAGCACGCACAATTGTTCATACACACAAACACATATGATTTCTCTTCGTTTGTTTTCTTTCTTTCTTTTTGTGGTTGGATTTGAACAAATTGAATGGAATGAGTAAATTGTACGTTTGTTGATGATGAGCAAAATGATGTCTGAATCCAGAAATGGCAGCGATGGCATCGGGACACAGGTATAAATTCGAAAAGCACTGCCTGTAGCCTCTAAGGTTCAATGATTTCGCAAGGTCACATATGTTTATGCCGTTGATATATTGCCGTTGATGTTAGTTGATTTAAGGGGGCAACAAACAAAAATTTGAAGCCAGCATGTGGTGGCACCGGCACATAGGCAGGTTATGTTGAACCGCACATAGCAAGAAACACAGCTCTCGAATGGAAATCGGACACTGGGTCGCGCCTGCGCGAAAGCTGCTGAAGGGCTCGCTCCACTTTTTCCGGAAATCAGCTCTTGCCAGCCTGATTTTTGGTCCCCCTTCTGTTGGTCAAAATGACAGTGGGAAACAAGCAGCAATTGGGACTGTCAGTCAGAGCGAAATTCGATAAAAATATTGGCTGCCCACTGTGGTGCATTGCATCCACTCAGCTTGCACCAGAATTTGACAACTAGGAGTATTCGTGTAGTATACTTTCAGGCTGAACTTTAACTTCACAGTTTTTTTTATTATTTTGAGCAATGAACAAGCGCACTACACCTCCTAGAGGTGAGTGGAGAGCATTGGCGGAATGGCACCGACAGCAGCTTTCAAATGATTCCATCCAAGTATGTTGCTCGATGAAATAAAATGGCAAATGCAGCGCCGGTAACATGCGAATGGTGCAACCAGCAGGTCCTGGACTGTAGCACAGACGCAGACCAGAACCCGAGCAGACAAGAGCGTAAAAGAACAACAGCCAGAGTGGCCAGAGAGCGGCTAAAGCTGACACAACAGTATCGTATTGTTGAACCTTTTTTTTTTTGGTGGACTTTACCCACTGACAGCTGCTGTCAAAACGAGTAACGAATGGCTACCAGCAACACAGCATAAGCATCAGCACCAGCATTTTTCTCTCCCACTCCGCCCAAACCGCCTTCACAGAGGGCTTGTGCGATGTTTTAATTGTTGTAAAATCCGGATTACAGATCAAAATGGTGAGGAAGACCAGCATGAGCACGCGGAAGGCCGCGATTGTCCTGCAGTTGGCGTCGGGCTTGGGTTTGACCCGCCGACCCTGGCCGCTGCCAGGGGATTAACCCAATTGAATGGAGTGCCCCGTGGACACCCTGTGTGGCGTTGGGATTGCCCTAATTGAGTGCCCGCCGATTGGGGGTTGCCTGGCAATCGCCTCAGCTCAAGTGTCAAGGTAGTGTCATTAGTCCATCGCTTTGCATAAACTGCTGTCCTTACTGTCCCCCTTCTATCATTGAAAACGTAACATTTGGCAGAGGGTATCTGAAAGTTTGTTACATGTTTCGCATAGAGACTGCCCGCCTCTTGCAATATTGCCCTTTGTGCAGCTTGTGGCAGATGCAGCCACAAAAAGATGTTGCATACTTGAGCTGGCTTTCTTTCCACTCTTTTTGTTTTGTTGCTTCCTTTCGTCCTCTTATTGTGTGTATTCCTTGCTAGGATTATCGCAACTTTTTGGCATCACGCGGGGGTCCCGGCCACAGAGACTGTCAAAACCACAAGCCAGGATAAGGCATGAGGATACTCCACACACGGGTATCACACTGGGGCTAAATACAGTCGACTGGACGCCCGTGGACTCATATTCAATTATCAGAGCTGTGCACTTGTATAACAAGTGCCAATTAAAAGCAGATAGCAGCAAAAGCTCCGAAATATAACAAAGGAAATTAATGTTAAGTGGAAAAGAATAAGCAAAAGAAATTCAGCTGCGAGGAGTCCTAGCATTTTGTGCAAAATTAATACTGCACTCCTCTGAAAATATATTCCGACACACTTTCCATTGGTATCCAAAAACTTATAACCCACAAACGCTAATGCTAACAGTCATTTAATTGGCAAAAGCATTCATACATATGTGGCATTGGTGTCAAATGTTTGGCTAGTCTTGGAGCAGTTTCGGTATCTGTTTTTGGTTGCCTGCAGCTGATTAGATAGCAGCATGTGGAAGGACGATTCTGGACGATGCATGTCTGAATGCTAAATTAGTCGAAGGATTGGGACTGATAGTTGTCGCTTCGATTATTTTCGAATGAATTGTAATTGAATCGGTCGTAAATGCAGCAGCTGTCAGTGGCAAGTGCAGCCCGCAGCCAAGATGCCACATGGTGTATGATTAATGTGGGTCGTAAATCTCATTACGCATACGCATACGCGGCGCAGACCGCACTCAGTTGGAAAAGATGCGGGCCCTAATTCCGCAGAAATTATAATGCAATAAAGACCCAAATAAATTAAGCTGGAATCAAGCGCAGAAAAATAATACAAAATAATAATAATAAATAAAATTAATCAAGTAATTGCATCATTTGCCAGTGTGACGACACCGCGGACCTGCGACTCGGTGACTCCGTGACTCTCGCTCCTTCCATATCGATTACAGCATTCATTATTTATTGCGCTTCCATTTCGGTTTCCATTTAACATTTTGAGCAGCTGGTAAATAGATTCGTCCAAGTGGTTTCAATTTCACATAATTCGGTATATGGCCGCTTCTTGCTACATTTCTTTCCCCATTAGCAGAGCCTCAAACTCCCAACAAAATTTCACTTGCACAACACAACTTGACTTGAAGCAGTTCATTTGAAAATTCACATCAAGCTGTGTGTCTTTTTCGCCACTTCATTTCTTCAATTCCCGTGTTCATAAATAAATTCCTTAAATGCCATTTAATTTTTTTAGAATTATTTCTCGAACATTAAAATCGGCTCTACTTCAAGTCAATTTAATTTGAATAAACTATAGAAAAATGTTTTTGGGTTAATTATAGCCAATCTCGAAAGGTGCGACAATCAAGGACCCAAGACCTTGGGCTAGGAAATGGGAAGCTATCTCAGTGTACTCCAGCTACAAGATAATTCCGATAAGCACTTCCCGAAGGTCTCTGCACTTGATACTTTGTAACTAATTGCAAAGATTAACCTTGCTGGCTTGCTTGATCCACTCTATGCGCATTTTACTTTTTGCATTAAATATTTCAGTTAAGGCAAAAACTTAAAGTTAAATTTCTGTTTGCTAATCACCCAAAAAATCAAGATGGTCGCTGTCTGACTTGCCGTTCGCCGGGGCGTGGCATAGCCACAAGTGGCAAACAAATGAAGGATAAGACAGAGAAGCAAAATTATGGGGAGGCAGCAGGCGGCAGGCTGGTGGCACTGTTTTTTATACAAGGTACTCGAACAGTAAATAGGGTATATTGTATTTGTGCGAACAACGATTGTATGTAACGCACAGAAAACAACGTTTCCGACCCCATAAAGTATATATATTCTTGATCAGCATCAAAAGCCGAGTCGATTGAGCCATGTCTGTCTGTCCGTCCGTCTTGTTGAGCGCCTGGATTTTAGAGACTATAAGAGCTAGAGCCACCAAATTTTGCATCCAGACTTCTGTATGCTCACACTGTTACAAGTGTATTTCAAAAATGAGCCTCGCCCCCTTCCGTCTCCGCAAAAGGGCGATAACCTCCCAAATTATACAATTTTGAAGATAAAAGAATTCCTTAGGGAATGGCCATATCTATGAGATCACCAAATTGGGTCCGATTGGATCATTATTATAGCCACGATGAAGAAAATAATTTGCAGTGGCTAAACCCACCCCGTCCCGCAGCTTATATTTGTTTTTTGCACATTCTCTTATTCACACTCTGCTTCACGCAGACACGTCTCTGCCTCTGCCTCTGCAGTGCCTCTGCAATGTTGTTGATGAAGAAAAAATGTAAAATTTGACATATAACCGCTAAGGTGCAGATGTAGTACTGAGTGCCGGGTATAAAAGTTGTGACGCGTAAGAAGCGTCTCACTCGGCCCTTCTCGTTTTATGCTGCGCTCTGCAGTTT